CTTTTTAATATTTCCACCTTTTCCCATTTATATTGCAGCATTATTATTATTGAGCATTTCCATGCATTTTCAATAAATTACTTAGACAATAATAAACTTTAAAATAATCAAAATGGCTTAGGAGAAATTCAAAGATGTTATATATATGTCACTAAATTTTTATCAAAGGTAGTTGATATAGGTTATAAAGTTTTACCTATATTTTTTGATTTGGCTAAAGCATTAGACAGTAGATCACTGTCTATTATTTTAAGTATTTACCTACTAAATTTGTATGGTATAAATAAAATTCATTTAAACTGGTTTAAAAATTATCTAAATAAAAGGAAATAATGAGAAATAGCATTGGTATTTTAGGTCAGGAAAATGAAATTACAGTGTTACTTTGATGTACTTCAGGGCAGTGTTTTGAAGCTCCTCTATTGACTGTATTTGATACATTTTTATATTTTTTTAAGTTTTAACTGTATTTTAAATAATTAGTAAATAAGTACTTTTTTTCGTAAGTAAACAATTTAATTTACCTCCGTTGTCTATTAATAACCTTACTTTATCACTATATTATAATAGAATAAGATATTAGGTTAATAAGTTTATTATTTTTGTCTAACTGTGGTAACTGGTGACACTCGTTATAAACAATGTTTTATATTCTGAGAGTTCTTATAGTTTTGTAGAGATATTTATTTTTTATTTTTTGTGTGTCTGTATGCAACTTCTACCAGAAAACTTGGTTAGATTTCTGCATGTAGCAGCTTTTCTGAAAGAAAATTGGCGTGAAAAGGTACTTGAAGGGTGTCATTTTTCGAATTTTTTAAGAGTTTCTCATCAAATACGAAAAATCGAAGAAAAAAATGGAAAATATAAGAAATGTAGGTATTAGTTAAAATATATTTCGGCTTTCTTTTTTTCTGCTCACAACTTTTCTACCAGCAATTTTGTTCCAATGATAGTAAATTTTCTAAAATGAAATTTTACTAGGGAAGTACTTTAGAGAGGTCACTTTTTTATTCTCCCAATTCTCCCAGCAAATGTGAAATACCGGGAAAAACTTACGAAAACTGGGAAAATGGTTAAACATTAAACAAATTTTATTAAAGAAAATATGTAGTTTTTTTAATAAGATATACAGATATTTACAGATATACATTAAATTCACGTCCATATCTTACTTTCCCAACTTTCCACCTACATCATTGGCTGCACCCATTCCTATTATCTTATCTTTTTATTATTATAACTTTGGCGGTTGTTGTTATCGTGTATACATGTTCTGCTGCACAACCTAACAATAATATTATGGCGAACCACAACGTTATCATTCTCCGAGAGGACTCTCTTTCCTTTCTTCCCGCTGCGCGTCGCTCGTGGCGGACGTCGGCCACGCCCCTCGCCGTCGGCGTTTAACGGTTTTTGCACACAGCTCCGCTCGACTCGACTGCTCGACCGCTCCGCTCGCTCTCTCCGCACCGACGCCATACGCGAAGCATTGTTCTCCGACTCCGAATTATTTTTATGTATAATTGATTTTTTCCACTAATGTTGTTTTAATTGTTGCGTGCTCGCCCTTACTTCCATCAAAAGCCGTCAGCTGGCAAACACTTGTATTATGTTTTGATGTTGTAAATAAACGATACTTTTTACCTTATCATAAACCTCGTGTCTTGGTGTAACCCGCCAAAATATCTTTAATTGCGATATTGAACTTAGTGAACTAATGTTATAAAAAATCAAGTCATCAATCAATCAAGTATTCAAGTATTGTTATCAATAATAATATAACCTTGAATTAGTGAAAAATAATATTTTATAGATAATTAGTTAGGTTTCATTTATTTCTCTTGAGTGTTAAAGTAATATTTTGTAAGTTTACTACTTAGGTTTTTCTTAATTGTTTTCGTGTTAAATGTAACTCATAGTTTAAAGTTTTTAGTTGGACTAAAATAAATATTTAATTGTTCATTGTGGTAAAAAAAAATCGAATCTGTTTTCGATTTTTAGTTTGAAGAAAACAAAACCGGTAAGTAATACATCCACAGTTCATTAAATTCGAATTTTGGTTGATCTCTGGCTTTTTTAATACTCTACTAGCTTAAAAATTGTATTTTACTGACCAAAATATTTTTTGTTACCTAAATATTAGTTTAGTTTGTATTATTATTAGCCATATTTTATGTTTATCATCAGCCAGAACTAATAATGCACCTAATTACTTACTTTATTTTTCAAACTTGACAAAACAACTGATTATACATTTTCAAGCACCCCCCCCATTGAAAAATCCTGCTTATACCACTGTTTATTATGAATGTAGTTTGTGCAATATGGAAGTTATGATGGTCAAATAGTTCTGTATGTGGATGATAAGTATAAGTTGTGCTCTGGCAAAATTGGGAAAGTTTAAGATAAAAATCAGAAGTCTTAATAAAGTATTATACAGGTTCAATATTAAAAAACAATGATTATGATTTTTTCAATAAATAATATTGTACCTCTGTTTGAAGAAATTATTATTAGACCAATAGCTCACAATGTAAATTCAATGACATTTTCATTAAAAGGTTTGACAGTCTTACTTATTTTACAAGATATTTCTAATTATGAATCTTGATTTTGGTGGTGCTCATTTGGGTGCTTAATAAAAAACCCTTTAAATTGCATTGAAGTTACCTTATGTTTATTACATTAGTAATTTGAATAAAACGGTGGTATAACTTGTCAAATATAATTATTTACTCACTCATAATTAAATAGTTGGTGATTTTATAAAACCAGACTAAGTATGGTAAATTTTCCATATGCTAATAAATATGAAGACAAATATAATTGGGTAGAATTGAGTAAATAAAATATATTTATTTATAAATAAATACTGATGTATAATCAGGTTTAAGTAGTTTGATATATCATTTAACATTGGTGTTCAAACATAGTGAATGTCAAGTATTAATTATTAGATGTAGAATAAACTTGTTTGGGCTACCAAGAGAAAGCTCAAACTACTGTTATTAGTGTTGTAGAAATTCTCAGTACATTTTTCTGATTCTGAAGATGAAACATTAAAACTATTAACAATTTGATTTGTTGGCTCACATAAATTAGGGTTTACATGTGTATTGATTTTTAATTTACTTAGGAGATGGTAGATATTAAAGATAAAAAATGAAGATAAGTAAGTATAGATTCTATACTTTTTAAATTTACAATGTTTACACAGTTTTTGTTTTTGAGATTTAAAAACATTATTTTTCATGGATTATTTAAATTAGAAATACTGAAAAAATAAAATGTTATTATTTTTGCATATATTTTTATTGTAAACATAATAAAACAATTATCGTTATAGTAAAGTATTGCATGAATACATTTATTATATAATAACAAACAAATATGATTATAGAACACCAAAGAGAAAAAAGAGAATACAATACTTAGTGGCTAATAATAATAATAAATAATTAATTTACCAATAAGAATAAATAGTATTATATGATAAAATTATCCTCAAGAAAAAAAAACAATTGTACATCATTATTGAGACATGGGAGAGAGAATAGCGTTAAAATTTGTGTGATTAGTATAGGTGAGTCATTAAATTAAATAATTTCTAGGGAATCGAAGATTATATTTCAGATTATAATACTTAAATTTTCAATACCATAAAAAAAAAAAATGTTTTAACTCTCATAATAATTACAACCAATCTAGTTTTCATGGACTTTAAATTATGGCAGTATGGAACATGATTTAATGGAATATTTAAAATATTTATTGAAACTAATTATTTGTGTCATTATAAATATGAGAACTTCATAAAATGAAATGTTAATTTGTCCATGAGTATTCAAATAAAACTTATTAAATATTATAAAGACAGAAAACACTAAATATATAAAGTGCCCCACAGTGTTATCCTTATGCTAATAACTCTGTCTATATAATTTTTTTTTTTCAGTAATCGTGGGAGGGACACAGATAAAAACTAAATTTTTTTTTTCATCCCCTAATCACTGAAAAAAAGACCTTATTTTTAAGCTTTTTTAAAATAGCCATTTTATAAAATATATTATAAAAATTTTAATGTGTCATATATTCATACCGGATTGATAGTTTCTCAGTTATAGTAGTTTTAATATATATAAAATAGTGAAAATTAATATTCAATGAAAGATGTGGAATTACCATGTAGTTTGTGATTCCTTATTGCATAATGTGTTACTCCATTGAAAATTATTTGTTTTATGCCAATTTTCTAGAAATTAAAACAGCCATTACTAAGAAACTATTGATTGGATATGAATGTATATTACATTAAATTTTTTATAATAACATCTTTTACAAAATGACCATTTTGAAAATTGATAAAATAAAAAGTTTCTTTTTCAATAATTAAGAAATAAAAATAAAAATTTTTTCTGTATAGATGTTCCTTTTTCCACAAAACCTGATTTAAAAAAAAATTTAAATAAATAAATATTGACAGAATAATTAGCATAAGATTAACACTTTGGGCACTATGTATATTATTTTTTTTTTCTTTATATACTAAAACAGTAAAGTAAATATAAAAGCAACTTTAAATTTAATGTAATCATTATAATTATTGTTTTTACGAGTAGGTACATCAGTGCTTTTAGAACATTTTTAAATATATTTTGTAACTTAAATATAATTGTATAATAGATACTGTTGTGGTTGACTGGTATATAATAATTTCTAATTATCATATGATATTATTTTAGCATAATCTTAAATTGAAATATACAATTTTGAGAGTAGAAAAGAGAAGATAATTAGTTTTAAAAACATTATCTTAACCAATAATAAAAAAATCATAAACAAGTGAATTGTTCTACAGCAATAGATTTGCAGACAAATTATAAAATGAGAAAAGAATTTGATTGAAAGTTGAAGACTAAATGAAAAAAGAAGTTTCTGATTTATTAATAAATTTGTTTAATAGGCATTTTTATTGTAGGTACTTTTAATAAAATCGCCAGTTATTTATTTTTATTTACTTTTTTACACTTGCTTTTAATGTGTTGTACAGTATGAAATGGTGAAGATGACCTTTTTTGAAACTCAATTTGTATCTCAAGAGGGTCAATTAAAACCATTGTTTCAAGTTTAATCCGTGGATTGGTGACATTTAAACCTTTTAAAATAATAAATCAAATATAATATAATACAACAAATAAAAAATATATTATTTAATTACTGTTTTCTTTCTTAGGACTTTCTGAATTTTTTTTTCCTTTTAAAACAAAATTATCAGATTTTGTAGCTGAGTGTTCAATTCCAAGTTTGAATGGAGAAGTATTTGTGGTATTTTTTTCTATACAGTTTTGAAAAACAGATAATAATGAATTGAATACTATACACATAATTTAACTAAAACAGAAAGTTTATAATTTATTTACGGTCTTTTTTGTTTGGACTTTTTGAATTTTTTTGTTTTTTCAAAACAAATTCACCAGATCCTGTGGCTGATGGTGTCAAATCATTCTTTGTAATAGTTAAACTTGTACTTGCTGTCCCTGATCCAAGTTTAAACTCTGAGGTACTTTTGGTATTTTTTTGTTTTTTCAAAACAAATTCACCAGATTCTGTAGCAACAAATTCACCAGATTCTAAAACAAATTCACCAGATTCTGTAGCGGGTGGTATCAAATCATTCTTTGTAATAGTTAAACTTGTACTTGCTGTCCCTGATCCAAGTTTGAACTCGGAGGTACTTTTGGTATTTTTTTCTATATAATTGTGCAAAAAATAGACACTAATACATTTAGTAATAATTATTAAAGCAAAGGACTTGTAGCATTTGCATATTTCTTTAACACAATCAAAAAAATAGTAGCCTAAGAAACAAATAAGTTTTATAATAATACAAAGCTAGATTTCTAATTTTATTTTTCATGTAAATGTATATTTAGAGTTTTTTTTGTTTTTAGAGCATATTTCTTCAATTTCATACATTTTGAGAAATATTTTAAATATTTTTTGTACATTTTGATTTCATTTAATGAGAGAACCAAAATTGTTGAATTAAAATTAATTTTTAATTTTTTTTTTAAAATTAATTTTTAATTTTGATATGACCAGCCATTTTATATATTGGTGACTTTAAAATAATTGTTGGGCATCCACCCCTCCCCTTCGTTTGGGAATGGCTAGTCTGTATCATATAGTTCACTATAGAACATTAACAATTAAAATAATAATAGCATAATATTAGAATTTATTAATTCATAAATTCAGTATAATATTGTACTGTATATAAAAAAAAAAATATGTAAGCCTACAATTGATGTAATTAATTAACTAATTAAATTTTTTTAAATTAGAACCAAAGACCTTGTTTCCAAGACCATGTATTATTACAGAAATAAGGAGAAGAAGATTAATGTGTGCCAGTTATACCTGGAGGAAAAAGGGCTCACTGGTTAAGGTGGTTATTAGAGAGGCCGAATTGGGAAAAGACTTACAGTGGGAAGACCATGTCAAAATAGATATTAAAGCAGTAGAACAGAATGTATAATGGAGAAAAGTTACTGAGGATAGAAAAAGATCGCGGCAAATTTGTTCAAGGGGCTGGTCTTGAGGGCCAATACACACAATAAGAAGAAAAAGAAAAAGAGGATTTAAAAAATAGAAAATATTTTAAGTACACAAGTGCTTACATGTTAAGTGCTTTTTTAGAGCTATAAGTCTTCTGCCTTAATAATTATAATCTATGAAAATTAAAAAATTTAGTTTACATACTGTTTGCTTGGGTAGGACTTTTTGTTTTTTTTTTTCCTTTTAGAATAAATTTATCAGATTCTGTAGCTGGTGATCTTAAATGATTCTTTGGGATTGAAGTTGTGCTTGCTGTACATGACCCAAGTTTGAACTTAGATGTCTGCGTGTTATTTGTTTCTATACAGCCATTCAAACATAGACTATAGTACAATAAATATGAATCATAATTTTATTAGAACAGAATATACTTTTTTTTTTTTTGTGTGTTATTTTTTGTCCTGCTTCTTCTGAAACTTCATTTTTATAAGTTATATATTGTACAGCATTCTAAAATTTCATAACATTTTATTGTTACATAATGTAATTCATTTAAAAATTTTAAATTATTATTAATTAAGCTTATATTTACACCAGCACTCAAATTCCACAAACATTTCAACAAATTCCACAAGGGCATTAAGCTTAAATAGAAACTCTGTTTTCTCAATTTGTCTTTTATATAACTCACATTAAGGTATTTATGAATTCCTGAAACATTGAACAATATTTATTGCATTATGAATTTAATTAAGTAGGTATTTTAAATTAGTTGTTATTTTTTATTTATTCTAACTATTAATATTATAATGTATATATTTTCTCAAACAATTTGTATAATATTAAAACAAGTTTATTTTCTCCTTTGTTTATATAAGTAGTAAAAATATCAGTTTTCTGATGACAATAAAACAAATATTTATAATAAAACTTTTTTAAATGCTTGTGTCTATAATGATGTAAGATATAATTTAATGTTGAAATTGGAGAACTATAAATTTCTGTAGACCTAGTTAAAGGTAGGTAGATTTTTTTAAATTAGGATAATAACTTCGCTAATCTTTGTTAATTGTCATTTTTCTCAATACAAAATGTATTAAAACTTCTTAAAATTTAAGAGGTTATTTAATAATTTTTGGAATTTTATTTAGGTACCTCATCAAGCAGTGTACAAGCAATAGACAATTTTTAATTTGTATTATTATCAAATTAAAATGTTTTATTATGCTTAACTATTGTTATAGTAGTCATATTAAAAGTAATAATGTGCTTGTGGAAATAAAATAAAATAATTAAACAAATTATGTCATTGTGGGATTATGAGTTGTTATCAAAAAATTATTTTTTGAGTATAAAAAATAATGAGAAATAATTTAGGCTAACTGTCTAAAAATGCTAACTTAATATACATAGATATTGATTATAAGGTATCTATTTAGGTACCTTAATACTTACCATCAAGCTTCATATCTTTTGTGTTTTTAGAACTCAATTTTTTTGGCATATTTTATGGAATACTTTATTTACCTATCAAAACAAAATATAATACATTAAACAAATGTATATTGTAATAACCTAATTATAAATTAAAATTATAATATTCATGAAACTGTAAAAAAATTACCTATGAGTTTGGGATATGTGGAAAAAGTTATGGATAGGTAAGGAATATTATAAAAAGTAGATAATATGGATGCAATTATCTATGGCCGGTGTAAGGTAGAGTGTAAAAATTGATTTTCCATTGCTATTGGTTAATCCGGAAAAAAAATTGTATGGTCGTGGTCCGTGCATATTAATGAATCCCGGAATGAAAATCGCCAGGAAAAAAAAAGTTCCGACGATAAATCCCAGAAAAAAAATCTCCAGACTACAATTTAACTTACAACTATTTGCAAATTATTGAACAAATATTTTTTAAACGCTAATTAGTGTGATTAATTCATTATTAATATTTAATTAGAAATATTTACTTATATAACTAATCTATGTTCAAAGATTAAATTAAATATTGAATACAATTTACCTTAATTTTATACGCAATTATAATTTTTAAAATTTATTTTAATTATAAAGAGGAGTTTTTACAAGTTTTATTTTTTAGATACATTAAATAATACAAATATTTAATTTAAATATAACATATAATAGCATAATACGAACTTTCATAAAATCAACTAAAAAAAAACGGACATCCCATGATGAATGGACCACTGTTATAAATGAGATGTTGAAAAGGTAGGATAAAGAGGGGAAATTAAAGTATATCTGTGAGCAAAGATTAATCATTGCTAACGAAAAACAATACTGAGCGGAGCTCGGTTAGTAATATTGTTTTTTCAACAATATATGTTATATTATAATACAATAAATATACATTAAAACAATTTGTATGGACCAGTAACTAGAGTTATACATCAAAATTTAATATTAAAATTCCTTTATAAAAAAAAAAATATTATATTAAGTTCAAATTCTTTTTATACGTACAAAACTCGCGAGATATCTCAAAAATGACTGAAATTTTTTGATAATGTTATAATGTCTAAAAAAGCAAATATAAGTTTATGTCCATAATTCAAGCCCCTATGAATATTTTCCGCGAATTATATTATTTATGTGGTTAAAGTATGTTCTAAAATAATAGGTAGGCAAGTACTATGAAATCGAGTGATAAGAGAAAAATAACTCTCAGTAGGCAGGTTATGGAGTAAAAGTGTGTCAGCTTACCTAATACTACGATAAAACGACGCGCGACGTTTGTACGTTCCAGTTTTTTGATGGGGCGATGCTATGGCCAAATGTTTAAAGACGCTTGTTGATCGATCTAGGTTAGAAATACTGAATAGAAACGATTGCTAATCTAATTACACCGCGTAAAAATATAACTAGAACCGATTTTTGTCGTGATATACCGATTAAAAAGATAACTGTTAATTATTCGAAACAAGTGGGCAATTATAAAAACGCGGCAGCAAAAAATAAATGAACAAAAGAATGACGAATAAGCCGCATAACACAACTGTGGCCTATGGGTCAATACAAAGCTCCGAAACAGTGATGCAATGTTATGCAGTCGATTTTGATTGTACTGGTAGAGTGGTAGCATTGAGTATACATCGCCGCGTTTTCTTAATGATAATACGTAAACAAATCTAGTAAGAATTGTCATCTTACCATTTCTGTTATCTAGGACTTGGAACCGAAATTAAAAATACTGATATTTAATCGGAACCTTTTAAAAATATTGGAACCAGAACCTTACCGAAAACCTTTTTTAATTTTCTTAGAAACCTAAACAGAAACCGAAACCGATATTTGTTGGAAGATTTTTCGGTTCTAATAGTAGGTATTTAACTATTTTATATATTTAGGTATTACTTAATAATAGGTGATTCATTAAATTTGGTTGATGTAAATGAATACATGGAGTATTTATATTTTATATTTCTATAATCTATTTTCAAATTATTTTTAAATAATATGAGCCGTTATTAATATTAATTTGTATGTTCTACGCCGCAGCAAAACGACCCATGTAAACGAAAAATTTGGCCTTTTTGATTTGGTTACTTTTTAAAAAAATTTTACTTTTGGAAATAAAAATAGAATTTTAGTTAGATTTTTATGTTTTATTTTTTTAATATTTACAAAACTACAAATTTTAATAATTTAAATTTTATACAATATATAACAAATATGTTTTTATTAAATACTATTATACAAGTTTTCTAACTTCTCTAGTTAATAGTATATATTCTATAACACAATCATGAATTCAAATATAATTAGTTGTTACACCTTTTAAATTTTTAGAACGATTTTTTTTCCAAACATACAACTTCCTATTTTCAAACTTACATCAACTAAAGAAGCTGTTGTTGAATCATTCTGTTTCAAAGTATCAATAACAACAATCGGTCCCCAATCCAAAAACTGTGTAATTAATATAGGATTTCGTACTCGGTTTTCATAGTAAGACTCTTGAAACGATGCATACATATCTCATACAATAACGGGTAATTTATTTTTTCTAAAATCTTAATTCAAATCGTGTTATACGGATACATAACAAAATTAAAATATACTTTCACGTTTGTTAAATTACAATGCCCAAATTTACTATAATATTCGCTATTTTTCTGTAATCCAATTATAACATATATCGGTTTTTTCAGCTTTGAAGCGTTTTTCAAATTCCAAACAACTTTTTTCGAGTAACCAAGTTCAGGATATTCGTATGTTTCGTATGATCTAAATAGAATAAATAAGCTTTTTATTTTTCTATATTTTTCATTAACTTCAATCTTTCGTTACGCTCACATACGGGATTTTCCAGACTATTTTTTTAATTTCCAATGCAGCAGTAGTTGTCGATAATGTCGACTCTGCCACTTTTTTTAATGGATCAACATTTTTCAATTACTTCAAGCCGCGAATTTACTAAAATCTTTTTGAAATCCTCGAAAAATTCCATCTATTGCTTTAGTGGAATATATGTACAAAAATATCCAGAATCAGTATCTGTTATAGACCTATCGTTTTTAAAATACTAGCCTGCTTTTTGATAGCATTTATAATCATCTGATACACATGATAAATAGCATTTAATCGAGCTAGTTACCCCTAACGCATGAGTTCTATTCACTTCCATTCCATTAATTTCAAATTTTACTCTGTCAAATAGTTGAGATCTACCGTAATGAAAAAGACTAGTTTTAGATGGTTCTACTATTTTTCCCTCGATATAAAGACAAATTTCCTTGAAGATATGGATACGCTTCTGACTGTTGAACTAATTCTTATTTCATCATTTTTTCTATAGGAATTTGTACGTGAAATATACGAATGGTATTCAATTTTAGTTATTCTCGTGTCCGTTGTGTAATGAGAATTAATGTCTAATATTTCGATATCGGTCATTATTTTTTAATTGATAACTACACGAAGAATATTTTTACTTTCAACCGTCAATTTGCGTATTTTTTTAATGTTGACGGTTGAGCATCTATTTGATCAGTAGTTAAATTATACAGTGATCTGCTTTTATAAGCTTAATTTTTAAATGTCAATCCCATATCTACAACGTCTTATATGTAGAACAACTTTTATTTTTCCTCTAAAATTATGTAGTTCTGGTCCTGATCGACTAGCTCTATATATATTCTATCGATTACAGGTGTATTCAGTTTGTAATATATCAAGTTTGATGGTCTTTCAACTATTTTGTTTCCAGTTACACCTGTAGGGAAAAATTCAACAATTGAATGAGATGGCTTATTGTTACAGAATGAACCTTACTATACTACTGAACTATACTACATATTACTATTATGGAATTTATTTGGTTTATATCAACTAGGTTCTCAGATATCCATCATACATTCAGTTAATATACTTTTTTATTAAACCCTAATATTGTCGATAATCTATTTGGTATACTGAAGTCAAGTGGATAATTACATCTAAATTTAAACTCAAATGAAATAAAAAATTTCCACATTTCAAATACAATTTTTTTAGTAAATTTCTTATTATATTCAATTATAAGATTATCTATGCAAAACTCTAAACGCTCGAGCTCAATTGGAGCTTCAATAAAAAATTATTTGTCATCTTCAATTATTTTATTATTCGATACTCGGATAACCGTTTTATTATTTTCTTCGTTTATATTCGGAAATGTATTATGTGTTTGTAATCAGAGAAGCGCAATTTTAGAGTCTACATGCATGCTTATAGGTGGAAAATAATTTGTTGATATTGGTGTTTTTTCACCTGTTAAACTTAAAGTAACTGCTTCATACATTGCTATTAAAAACACGATTTAAACTCAGCAACATTTAATATGTAAACCAATTGAAATGTTTCAGAAAATACTGTTTTGGGGGTAAAATCTTGATCTACTAGCTGTAATGAATAGCTCATAATTGCTATATTTAATTTGTGATTTATATGATTTGAAGGATTTTAAATAATAGTAGAAACCGTACTCGATAGTCAGAGATAATATCAATTGTTTAATAATATTTAAACAAGATGATAAAAATTTGAAACATATAATATTAATATACATATGATAACATATGATAGTTATTTAACTGATTTGGATTTTTTAGAATTTAAAAAAATATGTTATTAATGATGGAAATGAAGAGATTATGGGTTTATAGCTATCGATGAAACACGAGAAATGAATAGAAGTAAATATAAATGTGGTTTTTATACATTTATTAATCTCGGAATAGTGAATCACATAACGCTATAAATATAGCGGACATCTTTTTTGTATTTTATTAAGTAAAAATTATTGAAATTAAAGAGTTATTGAAGAAGCTAATAACAACAAAATAAAATAAAAAACGTAATGTGATGAGTATGAAAAGAGGTGTTATAGATACAGAATATTTGTTTAATGAAGCTTTTAAACCTATAATTGATTCACTCAATTTAATAGCGGATAAAAAGAAAGGACAGAATATTCAAAGTTTAAAAGGTGAAGAAGATAATAATTTACATAAAACTTCAGTACATCAATTTACCCACTTTTTCGAAATACTTCCAGAACATAGGATATACGATAAAACATATTATGAAAAAGATAATAAAAAACTTCAAATAGGAGAATATCCCGTAGAATTTGTAGGCGATTCTGTAATAGTGGTAGATAACCATAAATATAATTGGACATATGGTCTTTGGTCTTTGTTAAGTGAAAAAAAATACTAAAAGGAGTTACACAGTTGGATAACGAAAATTGTTTAGGAATATTATCTCAAACTAAAGTTCATCTTAATAAAAATAGTTAACCTAAATCAGCACAGTTTAAATTGAAATCTATTGTTAAACCTCTTTAAGAACGAATAATATTGCATATTTAAAGCAACAATTATCATCGTTTTTAAAATTTATAACAGCCTTGCTTACTGCAATACGTTTGGGAAGAGGAATATATGTAGACCCCGATAATGGATTTACCTGATTTATTCTCAATTCCAGGCCGTCAATAAATTGAAGGTTCCATCCACTCCCTTTCGGTTTGAATTTGGTTCCCTCTTTATGAAGTTTAGTGTGCATATTATTTAATATAACCACATGGATACTACTTTGGAAAACAAATACATTGGATATTTTGAATGAAGTATCAAGGGTTTCTCCGGTCATACAATTTTTATATGTATATAAAATATAAATATTAAACGTTAAAGAAGATTTCAAACCAAATTCCTTTAGTTTTAAAATAATTAAAGGAGAACAGTATTGAAAAAAGTTGAAATCAATATACTGGTCTATAATTTTTATGAAAAACGATTTAACATTTTTTCTGAAACGTTGAAATTCTTCAAGTCCACACTTAGTTGTAGCCATAAGCTGAGTTTTGATTATTAAATTTTGTTTCATTTTAAACTATAAATAAAAAACAATAGCTAAAATAAATATACAAGTATTTAAAAGTAATATAAATAATATACAAATATATAAGTTTTATTGAAAAAAATCATTATCAGTTAAATTAGATTTAGAATATTAGTAGTATGGGTACACGAAAATAGATGTCTAAAAATACAGTCAATTAATTTAACATCATAAACAGGATTGTGCACTCTTATACTATCATGCATATTGACAAAAATTAATTAAAAAAATTAACAAATGTTAATTTAGAATTTTAAGATACTATTTATTATTATTATTATCATCATCATATGCAATATATATATTATTATGTTATTAAATACAAGTTTCATCAAAATTCGTGCGTCTGTTGTTCCGTTCCGTATAAAAACGACTGAGACTTACGCATGCCTTCAAATAGCTCTGTGTCAAATGGTACTGCGATCGCATTGCAGCTGTCAGCTCTTCTAAAGTTTTTTCTAAATGTTAAGACTTTTTCATAAATATTATTTTTAGGGATGATACATGATCTCTATATATCCACTCGTTGATTGGTATTATTTCACCATTTGATGAAATTATTAAATGTTATCTTTCTAGTCTATATACAATTGAGTTTGAAATCGAACTGTTGTATATCACGGAAGCCCCTGATATTAATACTAAATTGACTCGACGGTAATTTATGAATTCAAAGTCTACAATTATGATATTTTGTCGATACCTAAAATAATGAATATACAATAGAATTACTAGGTGTTCTTTATATCTACTCTATTTTAATAATATAATTTTTCAATCATTTAAAACCGAATATTAATAATAAAATATTTTTTTTTAAAAAAAAAATCACATGAATTTGCAGTGATCAACGTCTCTATTAACCTATAGTTTCAACGTCTTGAGTAGCTGTTAGAGTATGAAACTACTACTAGGTATGGAATAGAAGTATAATCTTTTCTAGAGTCTGCTCCGGTACATATACTGAAATGTACAGGTATATCCCACCGTAAAATATAAGTGTATCCGTAATCGATCGGAGGTTAGCAATTCAGGTAATTTTTAATATAATATATGAACACGTATTTTCACCGAAAATATATCGACATTATATACTATGTGAATTTATTTTTAATTGCTGTTTTTAAATCTAAATAATATTACTATACGTTTATATAGAATTTATTGAGGTTAACAACTTACCGATCGAATGCATTATATCGTTGTTTCTTTAGCTAGCACGTGTTACACAGGTTTTACTACCAATAGGAAAGGAGGATCAAACCGTATATAACATTGTTCGAATTGTTACGAAAATCATTTGAGTCTTTCATCTTCTAAACGAAATATCTACTATTACTCATAGATTTTACAATATAGCAAAATATGAACCAAAATATATTAGAAAGTATGTATAGTGAGCAAACGGATTTCATAGATATCATTAGTGATGCGAGTTTATTACTTGTAGTTTACTATTTTTAAATATAATAACTAGTATTATTTTCAGAGTGATACATTATATATGCCTAACCAGTCTTTAGCCGTGAAAACGGAAATTAAAAAAATATATATATGACTAAAGGAAAACCAATTAAGGCAATAAAAAGTTAAACAAGCAATCAAACTTACGCGAAAAGTAAAAAAAATTAAACATTTTTAATTACATGAAATATATTAATATTTTATGCTTATATTTTAGACAAATAATTTCTGTGAAAATTTAATTTCAAAAATCGTCAACAAAAGAAAATAAGACAGAGGATCAAAATTCTGTATATGTAAAGGTTGGAGATAAAAAAATGTCTGGAAAAAGCTAATCTCTGATGAAGTGACAGACTTTTGGGTGATACAGCTATAGCTGATCTTATAATTTTAGATAATATTACCTTTGAATGTTTTTTCACAGAAATATTACTCCAATAAAAAAACGACAAGAGATCATAATATTGTTGCATTTTTAATATAGTTAGTGAGTAAGAAAGTCCTTTTTTAATTTTCCGAAATTCCGAAAAAAAAAAAAAACTTAGAAAGAACCAAAATATGTTTAAAAATAATGCTTTTATTATTTTCAATTTTGTTTTGTTGTTGAATCAGTTAAAAAATTCATAGAGAATTGAACATTTGACAGATAACTTATAGATGTAATATTTTTTTTAGATGTTAAAATGATCTGTCTTACTTATTTACTTTTTGAAAAAATATTAAGGTACCACTAAATACTGGTATTAGTCGGTATCAGAACCGAAGCCTTAATTCAGTAATTTTAAAAAATGAAACCGAAACCAGTACCAACATTTTTTTTTAATAACCGAATTGGAACAAAAACCGAAAAAATCATAAAGGTTCTAAGTCCTACTGTTGACAGATATATAGTCCTTTAACCACGGTATTTTCTACTCAACTAAATAATAGTGTTAACTACAAGAATTAAGATAATATCCTAATTTATATGTTAATTCCACGTATATATTATATAGTATGCAAACAATAATAGATACCCATACCTCAGGTTCACCCCTATAAATTACATTACAGTCTTTAGATATTAAAAAATTCTTTATATCGTGTTGAGACTTATTTTCTGATTTCAATGTAATATTATTTTATACCTACAATAATAATTGTATAGAGTGATGTACTTGACATCAAATTTAACTGCAGCTGGTAACGTTATAAATTATGATCATGTATAATAAATTTAACCAGATTATCTATAACAATAAGCACAAGCATTAACACTCTATTGGGTAATAATTATACATATATAAATATTATTATGAAAAAGTTACTTAAATTATTTGACATATTTGTTAAATAAATATGGAAAAGTTTTCAACAGAAAAGTTTGCATTTAATATATACATATTTAATGATGTTATTTATTTTTAATTTGTCAATTTATTATATAAACTAGTAGTTACTGCATATTATTATATTTTTAAAAGAAAACATTTTCTTAAATATATTTAGTACTAAAAAAAACAGTACTTAAATCGGAGGAGTCAGATTTAAGTTATTTATAGATATTAGCATATCCCATAATTTATATCATCATGTATTATTTGTTAGACAAAAATTGTAATTGTTATCTAATCAGACTTTTAGATCTGGGGGGAAAAAAATTGGATTTTTATATGTTTGTAACTTTTGTTTGTAAAAAATAAATTACTCTATGTATATATTTACAACAGTAGCCTATCCTTAGTGTAATGTATATAATATATATACAATTTTGTAAATTGTGTTCTGTGTAACAAGATACATTAAATAGAGATATGGTATATCCCTTTAACAAGGATATCAGTCAAACACAAACTGGAGTAACCAAAAGATCATGAACTAATGGTTTCAGTACAGTACTCCAGAGTTGATTTGGATTACTTAATTATTTATCCTCTAAGACCATGAATTAACTGGTTTCAAATCTGATTCAGAATAAAAGAGAAAACAAAACTAGAGTATTTACTAAAACGTATAAAACACAAAAATTCATTAGATAAACTTTATTAAAACTAAAGAACATAGTCACACTGACTCTTTCCTTCCTTCTTTCTTTCTATTCCTTTAAAAATTGTACAATATTAATAATTTACCCTACTTCTTAAATACTACCTAGACACTATTAATTAAAACAATTTATAAATGCTGACAAACAGTATAACAATTGCATAATGTGTCATTGACACTCAACAGAAGTGTTAAAATTATATTAATATGAATAATATTATTTAATTTATACTTGTATATAGACTTTTTTTCTTAATTCATGCACTAAATAATAGTTGATTATTAAGAGTATGTTAAAATCTAATAGTATTTAAGTTTAAAAAATGTATTTAAACATTTAGTGGAATGAAAAGGTTTATAAATTGGTTATAAATTTCATAATATTTTTCAGCTTATAATAATAATTTATTCTATATGATTTTAGAACTATTATTTATCAACTCTAATTCTTAACTCTCCATTTCTATAAAATTAAGTAAATATTATCTAATAATATTGCTACTTTAGAATGAAAAGGTTCTAAAGGCATTTGTAGAATCGCTCAGGAAAATATTTTTAAGGTAAAAATCTACATATATTATTACAAACAAATGTTTGAACTAATGAAAATGTTATTATAAATGTAGAATGTTCCTTGGAGTACAAGGGAACTTGAAATTATGATTTTCTCCAATAATAAGAATTTAAAAAATAGTTTAGAATGTAAAGGTTTAGAACATTTTTATTTTTTTAACGCAATATTATATTTTATTTATTAAAAATATTAAATGAAACACATGAAACTACCTTAAATCAAATGATAAATGGTGATAATTATTTAATATTTTGTAATATATATTAGTATTTGATAGTCTTATTTTATTCTAATAAAAAAATGATTAAGTATTAATATTTATTAGCTATTTCATTCTAAAAGAAAAAAAAATTCTAACTTAATAACATTTAATTGTCTATCTAAAAAAGTAATTTTTGAAAATTGTTGATTCAGAATCTTTTCATTCAGTGGTAACACTATAGGTATTTAATATTATAACCTCAAGTTAAACTTAGCATAAATAAATAAACTATGAATATAATTCTGTTGGTATGTTATCCTTCTTGAGGTATAAAATTTTATCTTTGGCTTTCTTGAAATCTTCATATATCACTTGCATGCGGCGTTCATTGAGAGCTGACATTCCTGCTTCAGTACAAATAGCCTAAAACCAAAAAAAAATTTACATTAATACACATCAATTAATATTTAAGACTTTTGATATGACAGTATGACAAAATATTAAACTTTTTTAGATTTTGAGTGGAGAAAAGAAGTACATGGTTTTACAAAGATGTTTATTTTTTATTATTTTTTTTTCTGTACGCGACTTTTTTTCCAAAAATTTTGTTCCATTTTTAAGTGTAGCATCTATTCTAAAAGGAAATTTGAATAAAAGGTACATGGAGAAGGTGATTTTGGTGATTTTCCTAAGAGTTTTCTCAACAAATGTGAAACACCAAAAAAAAAAATGGAGGATTAATGGGAAAATGTATGAAATATATCACTAAAATATTACGATTTTTATTTCTGTACACAACTTTTATTATTTTTCTCCGATTTAAAATGATAGCACTTTTTATGGAAAAAAAACATGATACGAAGGTACGTTAGAGAAGTTATTTTTCAATTTTTCCAAGAGTTTTCTTAGCAAATATGATAATCATAGAAAATCATGGGAAAACCGGGAAATTTGTTACAACATTAAAAAAATATTATTAAAGAAAATATATAATGCCTATTTAATTATTATACTATAAAAGGATCATTATCAACTGAATTAAGCTCAGAATCGTTTTTTCGTTAGCAATAGTTTATAATTGCTTACAGGTATACATTAAATTACCTATAACAGTGATTTTTTTTTTTTGAATTTTGAATATTTAATTAATACTCTACTACCTTCCCAACTTCTCATCTATTACAGTGGCTGCATCTGTTTCCATTATCCTAGGACAGCTTCTAATAATGATATTTTATGAAATATTAAAATTAACAAATGAACCAAGTAACACATTAAATGTTTTCATTTTATAATAATAATAATTTCTTTACTAGAGAATTAATATTCCAATCCTATTTATTTATATTTATTTTGTTATAGTTAAATATAATTATTTACAAAATAAATAACAATAGATATTATACAACCAGTTCATATAACAATAAGCTATCCTAGGATAATGGGGACAGGTGTAGCCACAGTAATAAGTGAAAAGTTGGGAAGATAGTACAGTATTAATTACTTATTCAAAATTCGAAAAAAAGAGTAAAAAAAGTCACGAAAAAAGTACTTAAAAATATCAAATTCTACTATAAGCTGTTTTGAGCGTTATCTAAATAAGTTATCTAGCTAAATAATTAATTATCTTTATCTTATTTATAATCATCAAAATTGGTAATTCTGATAAATTATCTTAGATAAAAGATTGGGTTATTTAATCTAATCCATCTGGATAATGTAAGATACATAACTAAATAGAACAGTATTTAATATATAAAGTATTAATAAATTTTTGTTATGTAATTTTTAATTGTATAAGGCCCAATATAAGTTCTATGATGGCAATGTGATCTTGTGTAGATCATAGTCCATAGTTGTAATAAGTTAATAAATATCACACATACACACACACACATACACATTCACAACAATGATATTTTAATTGAATTTTGTCTGCACAATTTTAAACATAGTTAACATAAATCCGCCGATTTCCCAAAATAGTAATGTTCCTTTTAGGAATGTCTTTGGAGAGGGGGACTGTGCCCTGATTATATTAATACTGTATATAATATATATTTAAGATAAAAAAGTGTTATTAAATTAAAATTGTTTATCTTTTTTTTAATCCAAATTAAAAGTTCTATATTTATTATCTTCATCTAGATAAATGTCTAGTTATCTTTACACAACACTGACTTCAAAATCACACTACCCTTAATAAATAATCTTTTTCATTGAAATTAGTCTTTTCAAAGAAAAAGGAATAAGTGTTTATAGCAACCACGGTTTTCAATAAACAAATATATACTAATATAATTTTTTTTTACATAATACAATTCTGTTTTGATATATTTACTTTAATATCAGCACCAGAGAGGTCATCCTTGGCTGTGATGAGTTCTTGCAGATTTACACCTTCAGCAATTGCCATTTTGGAAGTATGAATGTTAAATATTTGCAATTTCGTTTTTGTGTCTGGTAATGGGAACTCGATCTTACGGTCAATACGACCAGGGCGAATCAAGGCAGGATCCAGAGTTTCAATACGATTTGTAGCCAATATAACCTTTTTTTTTTTTATTAAGTTCAAATACAAAAAAATGTCAAGTTTTAAATAATTTAATTATTTACTTTAACATCGTTTTTAGAATCAAAACCATCCAATTGATTAAGGAGTTCCAACATAGTACGCTGGATTTCGCGCTCACCACCAGAATTTGAATTATAACGTTTGGTACCAATAGCATCTATTTCATCAATGAACACTATAGTTGGTGCTTGTTCTTCAGCCACACGAAATATTTCTCTGACCAATTTGGGACCATCTCCCTGTGATTAATAATTATAAATTAATTTAACAAATATGTATTTATTCCAGCCAAATTATTAAAATTTTAAAATTTTTCAAATTTATCTATAGATCTTACCAAATACTTTTGAATGAGTTCAGACCCAACAACTCTCAAGAAGGTCGCTGAAGTTTGGTTTGCAACAGCTTTAGCTAAAAGTGTTTTACCTGTTCCTGGAGGTCCATACAAAATAACTCCTTTGGGAGGTTTAATTCCCATTTCTTCATAATACTCAGGATGAGTCAGCGGTAGTTCAACAGCTTCTTTAATCTCATGTATTTGATTATCCAAACCACCAATGTCGCTGTAAGTTTCTAGAGGTGCTTTTATAAGTTTCATCACAGATACCATAGGATCAATATCATCAGACAGTACTCCAACTATAGCATGTACCTGCATGTAACAAAAATAAGTATCAACTGCTGAATATATATATATTGTACTAATACCTTATAGTTAAGTAGTACTGAACATCCAGGAAACAACTTATCTTTGTCCACAAATGACAATACAGTGATATAATGTTCACTCCCAACAGATGTGGATACAATTGCATGAGTGTCATCAATCATATCTTCTAAGGTACCAACAGTCATAGGGCTTCCACGTATATCTTCAATTTTAGACAATTCTTCCTGTAATTTGTACAGATATTATACATTAAGAAATTTAAAAATATTATAAAAAATGAAGTAAATATAATATAACATGTTTCTTAAATGATCTGCTACCGTATTACTGTAACTCACTATTACTCATACTACCAAGTATTCTATTTTGTTTTGTTTTAATTTTATTTTCATTCATTTTTATACACTTATTCAATTTACTATATGTTCTCATTTTATAATTAGTCTAATACATGTAACCAAAACGATACACTAAATAATCACATAAAAAAAAAAAAGACTACAAATTTAATATAAATTTATAGGTAAAAGAATTTTGGTTGGTATTGCCCCAATAAATAATCTTGGAGTAGTGTACAAGGAGCTGAAACATAGTTATATGATGTTCAAATATTAATTTTAAATTTACAATATATATAAAGTATAAACTTTAAAAAGATTTAAAAAAAAAAAATTTTAGTCAGGAATATCAAAAAAAAAAAAAAAAACCGAAAAATAATTATATATAGTATACACTATATCCTTATATTGTTTATATCTAAATGATTTTTTTGTAATGAAAATGTTCACCAATGTTTAAATGTCTTAAATTATTAACTTAAACATCAGAGATATTTTTTGAATTAAAAGTTAATTGTTAACTGGTGCATCCAGCTTAATTCAATGATTTAATCTAGTTTGATAGTGATGTTTAGGCTTAAAAATTTCAATATTTCTACCAAAACAATATAAAAAAAAAAGACGAACATACTTCGCATGTGAGCGGGCCACTGTTGTAGGTGAGAATTTATGGAAGATAAGGGTAATTTAATGTATATCTGTAAGCAATGATAAATTATTGCTAAGGAACAAAGATTCTAAGTGGAGTTCAGTTGATTGTGTTGCATTGTCAACAATATATATTTCATAATATGATAAAATAATTACATAGGCATTATATATTTTCTTCAATAATACTTGTTTAATATTGTACCTATTTTCCCATTTTTCCTAAATTTTTCCCTTTTTTCACAGTTTTTCCCATTTATTGGGAAAACTCATGAGAAAATCAAAAAATGACCTCCCTAAAGTACCTCCCCAGTCAGATTTTTTTTAAGGAAAAGTGCAATCATTGTAAATCGGAGGAATATTTCTGGTAGATAATTTGTCCACAGAAAAATAAAAATAAACATCACTATATACCATAAACTTCTTCACTCCATTCTGAATTTAAACCATTATAAATAAATAAACTATTTATATTTCTAATATTAAAATCTATATGCAAATTAGCAACATGATAGCTATAAGGTTTTCTTAGTATAAACCTCAAAAATTAATTTAATATTATAAGTTTATGTATAGTATATATGTCTGCAGCATTAGTCATACTACTAAATATGGACAATTGGCAGATTAATTGGATTAATGTACCTCTTTCAAATACACTCAGAAACATAAAACCATATGTCCCAAAAATTGAAAATCCTTTCTTTCAAGAAGAGAGGGATTAGTTATTACCTGAGTGAGAATAGGGCATACTTATTTAACTCATTCCTACTTAATCAGCAAAGAACTAAAATCTATGTGTGAAACATGCCTAGTCAACCTATCAATCCACAATATTATTATCGATTGTCCTAAATTCTCGGAATCTCGCAGAATCCTCAAAATAAATATTAAGTAAGTTTATATTATTCTTAGAAAAAAATTGTATTATTTCTTAAAATGAATTTGACTTAATGATAGAGTAGGTACAATCCATGAAATTATCAGATAACTTTTATTGCATACCAATATACATTACCAAGACCTTTGTTGACTGTAAACATGTTACCAAGTTTCTATGATCTAAAACCTTTGATTCTGTAAATCAACAAATATCTTTTTAATATACTGTCCAACTTTAGTCCAGTTTGAAGTAGTTTACAAGTTACTTAACTAATTGAAACCAATTTGTCAAAATTAGTGGTACCACTAGTAATAAACTTTGGAGTATCACAGATCAGTATTTCGGGTCCACATTTATGTATTTTGTATATCAATAGTAAACCTAATCTTAATCTTTGGACGAATTGTAACTTTTCAGGATGACACCTGCCTATGTTTTTAGCATACTTAATGAAGCATAAATTGGAGCAAAAAACAATAATTGAATTTTGAACCAACAAAAAATTATTGATTAATTTCAATATATTTATGTTCACAAATTTCAGGATAAATAGGCTAATTTTTTTTTTTTATTGTTTGATGAATATATTTAGTTTAATATAATATTTTTTATTTTGTGACAATAAATTATTTGTATATATAGAGTAATTCAAAATGTATATTAATATTGAAATATTCAAAAAAGAAAAAACATATTATACAAAAATATTTTGATTTATAAGCATCTAAAATAATTTGTACATTTTTTTCAGAACGAGGGGGGGGGGGGGGGGGATTAGGAGGGGGTTTTAGTGTTAATTTTTAAAATTTAAATGAGAACGTATATTTGAAATTCTATACATTCCATTTCAATAAATCTGGTGTTAAAATTTTTGATTTTTGTCAACCCAAAGTAGTAGAGTATTTATGTGGCAGTTTATTAGATAACAAGAATCAAAAATTTCAACACCAAATTCTGTTTAAACTAATTCTAATAAATTTATTTATTTGACTTTGAATATAGGTTCTCATTTGAATTTTAAAAGGTTCATTTTTTTTTCTATTTTGAATATTTGCATGATAAAATGGCTATAACAAAAATTTTGAATCAATCTGTATCCACTTGTATACAATCACCTGTATATAATATATTACACAATATATATATATATATAAATAAAAACTAACTATGAAATTAATAATAAGTCAGCGGATGATTAATTAAATTTATGCTCAAGATATGATAAAAAGTGGAACTGGTGTTGGTCACTCAATAATTTACTTTACAGTATAATTAATCATTGTTATAACTTTAAATTTTAATATTTGTAGGTCAAATTGAACATTGAACTAAATTAATAAAATTCTACCTACTAGACATTTTTTTAATAGAAAACAAACTATTATAGTATTGTTATAATTGTACAAACATTATTTTACTAATGGATATGTTAACCCTTCAATGAATGTTTTTTTTTATAGTCTAAAGTACCTATTGTAGATAGTTCTACTTGGGGAATACCAAAAAATACTAAAATATTAAATTAGACTTAACTTAAATAAAATAACTATTATAAATAATTTTTACTTTATGTTTTTCTTCTTGAGGCTTTAGTCTTTCTTGGTTTAGTATGAACTCTTCTTCCATCATCAGATAATCCTTGATACGCTCCAATTTCAGACATTTTAATCGACATTTTGTTTGTATAGTAACTAAAATATGGTAAGTTAATTGTGTTAATATAAAAAAAAAAAATAGATACTAACTTGTCGGTAGTTTTTGAGCTGCATCGGAACCCTTTGTACATTTTCTTTTCTTACCCACAGTGGTCGGGATTGGTGGTTCATATTTCTTCTTTGGGGGCTTGTCAGTTTCCTTTTTATCATGACAACAAGAATGAGTTTGACCCTAAAAGAAACAATTTTTATACACATAATACACATAAATAGTTAATGTAACAATTTGTATGGATAGAATAGATGCAGATACTGAATTATTTCGTTGCCTAAATAATCTAAAAAATGTTGTATTATTAATGACGAGCTATAATGTAATAATATATTTAAATTTTTTAATTTAATTTACCATTTTTATTGAAGACGATACACAATGAGCTGTCTATAAAGTACGGACTTATATCATAAGGATTGAACAGAAGACTAACCAATCCCAAGTCCCGACAATACAAAATGAGGTCGAGTTATTGATTATTATTTCAGCATTGTTGCCAAATCTATCTAAATGAATAAGGACTAAAGGACGAATAACATTAGAAACATTTGTTTCCAAAGACAACGTATATTTATAAACCTGATGGATATTACTATTCTGTAGTTAGTGTATGTATTTGTTTTACTATGTAGAATGTAAGTACTTATAAATTTATTAAAAACAATAATATATTATAGGTAAAGTGCCCCACAAAAATATACCTATCGTAATATCTTTGGAAATAATAAAGATAATCAAAATTCTATTTTTTTTTTTTTAATATTACTCATAAGGATGAGGACTATAAATATTTATATTTCAATTACATTTTTTATTTTTGGTAAAATTTCCTACACTTGATACTTCGGAGTAAGATTTATTTTCATCAGAGAATAATTTTCATATATAGTATAAAAAAAAATTATAAAAAAAATCTGTCCTAGAATAATGTCAATGACACCCATCGCCTGCACCAGTTACTGTTGTAGGTTTAATATTGTATTGATTTTCCTGTTTTTCCTGCATTTTTCTCGTGTTTTTTCCCGGATTATCACAATTGCTAAGAAAACTCTTAGAAAAATTAAAAATTGGCCTCCTTAAAGTACATTCCTAGTCAGATTTACTTTCAGAAAAAGTGCTATCATTGTAAATCGAAGCAAAATTGCTTGTAAAAAATTTTGCACAACAAATCGTGGGGTATTTTTCGATTAAAATTGTCCGAGTGAGCAATAGCTAGGTCTCTAGTTACAGTTAAAATGCATTGGTTTTTCCCTATTTAGGTAAAAGGGATTAAAAAGTGCAAAAAATGTCTTTCATACCAAGAGTTTGAACCCCCGAACCTAATATGACAATATGTATTCTTGATCATTCGACCACAAAAAATATATGGTAAAGAAGATAATATAGAATTATTTAACATTTAACATGTAATATCTGTGTAATATCTGAAATTGAAAAGCTATAATTTTGAAATTTATCAGTCCGCTCAATTCTGATTTTATCATCCTTCTTAAATCGGCAACACACACATATGTTCACAAAAAAAAAAAATTGAAAAATTGAATTTGTTTCTTATAATCTACAATTTTCGTAAAAAAGTAGTATCAAGATTCCTTTATAAAAACAAATACTACAATAAACTCATTTTTTTTTTATCACAAAGTAAGATTTAATGAACCTTCTGTTAAATTTTCAAACATTTCCATTAAGTTTAATAATTTTACTACAGAATACCTACTGTATAAAAATTACGTATAAAACTCACAAAATTAAAATATATATGTTTCTAAATGATTTAAAAAAACAAACTTCAGCTTATATTATACTATACTTGTATTATTTATTAGGAAAGAAAAATACTATCAAACTATATATTGTTATTACATGGTTTATTTACTTTCTTGCGTGTCTGCATCATATATATATATATATATTGTATACTATGTTTATACTTTAAATAAAATGACTAGATTGATTATTTATAAAATAATACAATCTAATATATTATTATTTATGATACATATTATATTGACATTATATTTTTATATAAGTATTTTGACATTTGTTTAGATAAAATCCAGGCACTTCTAAGACAGAATAATTTTGAAAAAGTTTATGTTTTTTCTGATATAAATAATATTGTTTCAACACAACCTAAAGTGTCAACATCCTCTAATGTTGAAAATTTGGCATCTCAATTAAATAAAGATGACGTATACTTGGATCCTTTATCATCTACTGAACTGGATTCACCTAATTTTTGTCAAGTTAGTATTCAATTAATTTATAACCTTTTCGTTTTATTTTATTAAAAAATTATAATTTATAGGTTCATCAAAATTTGTTCCAAGACAGATTAATTATGAAGAAATTAATTTTTCGATTAACACAAGTAATACAATTACGGTTTAAACTTTTTCCAGTTTCAATTTTGGTTTTAGAAAATTAGTTTTTTTTTTCGAATTTCGATTTTGGGTTTATTTTTTCTGGTTCAGATTTTAGTTTTAAATATCAACATTTATTTTCTTCAGTTTCTTGATATAAAATATTAATATTTTTTTGTTAACTATAATTTTGTTTGATTTCTAAGAGAGGACTGTAATATATAGCATTAACATAAAGTAACCAACCTGTTGCTGTAGCCTCCATATTAATTTAAAGTCAATACACATTAAGTTCACAAATTTACAAAAAAAACTTTTAAAGTCAACTATATTGTTTTGTATATTTTAATATAGAATGGACTGCTGTAACTAGATCAATTTTAAACAAAACCTCATGTTTGAAACCAGATTCAAATACAGAATGAAATCCTCTCTAGTGATTAACCTATACATATAATAATACAATAAGATAGTTTGATTTAATAAATGTTATTTTGCCAGCTTTCAATGTCATTTGCTCAACTTTGCGTCACCATTAATATTTATGCAAAATAGGGTTTTTTAAACTTAAACAAATTTCTTGTATTTTGGATGTTTGCTGAATCATTTAGACTAATGCGATTTATAGTTTAAATACTTATAACTATAAAATATTATAATTAATTTGATCATTAAGAAGTAGTTTATGTAAAAGATAAAAATGTAACCAAATGAAAACAGTCACTTATGATAAATGATCTGATATACATAAAACGCTGAAATTAAATTGACATGCAATGATGGGCGGAACAGCTATTCGTAGTGTATAATATTATACAAACATGTTTTGAATTTTTTTAATAAATATATTTATATTAAATACATGTATATTATTGAAAAATTGTATATGAAACACGCGTGCACGCGTTGTATAAATTCAAACAAAAAGTTATTTACAAATAAGGTTAGTTACACACGTCGCGAAGGGTTAAATTAATGTCACGATTTGCGCCGGTGAAGTTCTCCTCCACAATTGTAATTTTGACTGAAATGTCTTTAGACTCAATGATCGCATCGTACGTGTACCGTAATCTGTCGGCCGGATTGATATTCTGCATGGATAGCCGCGGTTGCCTCATACTACAGTTGTCGATTCGCTGAGGCGTTACAATGAACAGGAAATAACCGTTAAACATTTTTTGAACTATTTCAGCTTGTTCCCTGCGCAAATTTTCAATATCGTGTATACGAGTACTTCATCGAAGAATTTTCAGTAGAGTATAAAATAACATACGTTTTAGATTCTGAGCGGAGCGAGGAATGTATTGGTTTTACAATGATATTTATTTTAGATTCTGAGTGGAGCAATGAAGCATATGGTTTTACAAAAGTGTTTTCTTTTTTTTATCTTTCATAACTTTATTGATAACTTGTCTACCAGAAATCTTGCTACAATTTATAATGATAGCACTTTTTCTGTCCGACTGATAACGTACTCGAGGGAGATCATTTTTTGAGTTTCCCAGGAATTTTCTCAAAAAATGTGAAAAAACGTAGGAAAAACGGGAAAATTAAATCATTATTAAACAAATTTCCCCAAAGAACATATATTAAATGTCAATTCAATTATTTTAGCATAATATGATATATATTGTTGACAAAGCATCACTAACAACTGAACTCCGCTCAGAATTGTTTTTTCGTTAGCAATAGTTTATCGTTGCTCATAGATATACATTAAATTCCGTTCTGTATCCTACCTTACTAACTTGCTACCTACAACAGTAGCTGGTGCAGGCGATGGGTACCATTGCCATTTTCCTAGGACAACTTTTTTTTATAATTTTTTTTTTTATACCGTGTATGAAAATTCTTCTCCGAAGAAAAGAAATCTTACTCCGAAGTATAAAGTGTAGGGTATTTTCTGAAAGTAAATTTTTCTGGGGTGGTATTTTAGGAAGTTATTTTTTAATTTTCTCAGGAATTTTCCCAATAAAAGGGAAAACCGAGAAAAAACATAAAAAAAACTACAAAATTTACAAAAATAATGATTTCATAATTTTTTAAATTTTGTTATTATTCAGTTTAAAATGTTTCTAGGTACTTGGCATAAGGATGACAACATTATATTTGTGTTTTATATACGTAGAAAAATTTTGAAAATATTTAAGCCATTTTTGTGCTTTTATAGATGTTTTAATTTTTATATTTTTTTCATATAATATTTATTCAGTAGGCAAGTACCTACTTAATAGACAAAATTATTTGAACGAACAGAAATTTTTGAAAATTTAAAAAGAGATTTATTATAAGTTTTACTTTGTGGTCATCAAGAAAAATTTTATTTTAATGCATAATTTTTCTTTTTATAAGAACTTTTATACAAGTTTTGAAGAAAATCTTAAATGTTATGGTCTTTTAAAACATTTACAATTGAACTCTGGGTAGAATCGTCTTTTATCAATAGTTAATTGTTGTGTATAAATAAACATAAAATTGCCCTCTTTATCCTATCTTCACCACTTTTCATCTACAACAGTGGCTCACCCATCGTGCGAAGTGTGTCCAATCTTTTTAATTATTGCAATATGTCGTTAAATGTATGCATTACATACGTTTTTTTTTAAATTTTAAACGAGTTTTATTTTATCTGCAACTTATTAATTTTTTTTGTAAATATTATATTATAATAATAATTAAATTTAAATACATTTTTGTCATAATTATTTAGGAGCAATAACAATTGAAAAAAAAAACTAATATTGGGAATGGGTGTGGTACTGTGGTCACTGTTGTAGGTGGACAACTGGGAAGATAATTAAATTTGTACCTATAACAAACAATAAACTATTATCGACGCAAATATCTAGTAGGTATGTTATTAATAATAATATGTATTTATTTATTCAATCCCAAAATCCCTATTATCTCCCTTTCATGTAAAAATTCAGTTACAATTTATTTATCGTCTCGCCGATTTTTCTTCTTGCATGCATAAAGTATATAAATTGATTTCTTTTGACAATCATAAATCGTTATCTGATTAATATTAAGATAAGATTAAGAAATAGCACTTAGAATATATACATCTACGGCAGTGACTAATTGTTCAGCTAAACGCTATTATTCTTGTTTGAAGGGAATAACAATTATCTCTGATCTACGATGTCACACGATCGATTAAATGTGCCATATTAAGTATTGAACATGAATTAACTAATCAGTTATCATATGAGGACATCGTTGAAGACTTTGTGAAAAAAAAATCAAGACGTAAGACTGTAATCTGAAGAGTGAAGAATATGAATAATATATATTTTTAAGTTTTTTTTTTTTTTTTTAATATTCTTAAGTAGTTTTTATTTATTAAATGTATAAATAAAGTATTGATTTTATGTTTTTAATTTATGAACGATCATTTTTTTTTAATACGAACGCCTCATGGGTCTTTTACGTATCACTTTTAAAAGTAAAATATCAATTTGTAAATTAGGTGGTAAATTTTGTTTAGCCTATGGGCGGCAAAAACCTTAATCCGGGTCTGTGTTAGAAGAATCTAAAATAATTTTATCAATATTTATAGTGCGATTATGTTGACCGTCGACTTAATTTCGATTTGAGTAAAATGTTCTGTACTCACGTTGACGAGGCATTGAACACGATCTCGTAACACTGCTGCGGGCTGTTGGGCTCGAGGGCATCGAACGGGCCGTGCGCTGCCTCGTAGTGTTCGGCCGCGGTTTCAACGCGGGCCACATGACCGCAACCTTCCAACGGGCACGTGAATAAATTGTACGCGCACCCGGACCGGTAGTGTTCGCGCAGTTCCTTGACTGAGAACCGTCGGTTTTCGTGGCCGCAGTCGTTAACGTCGAAGTCGCTGCGGACAACGATTCCGTCACCGTGGTGGTGGTCGCCCGGCTCCGGCCTGTACTTGCACCGGAACGTCAGCGATGACACCAGCCAGTCGAACGTTATGTTTGAGTTGCGATTGAAACGGCTGCCGCAGCCGCACCGCAGCATATATTTGACGCACGGCGGACAACCAACGTGAGCGCTCCAGCATAACCGGTACGGCGGCAACGACTGAGCGTGGCACGTGTAACACGAAACCAACCGTTCGATTTCCGGGCACAAGTGTTCCATTACGACGATAATGACGCCAATGAAACAATGTTAACCGTGTGTCCGTACAGCGTACTTCAATACATTTTTTTCTCGAATTATCAACTATCAAAAATAATAATATAACAATTGTAATGGTAGTTTATGTTAAATGCCAATTCAGTTATAACACGCACACACACACACACATGCATGCACACACACACACACACGGTGGGTTACCGAAGTTACCGAAATAACGTAGCCAACGTTTTTCGTGGCACGTTCGTCTACCACCCGTCGCTGTGTCGCGTATACCGCGCAGTCAAATTTTACTGAATAATAATTGTAACAATTGTAGTTTTTAATTATTAACGTATCGCACCGAAATTGTTGTCACTCGGGAATCGGGTAGTTAAACTATAGGTATTATCTACAAGAAGGCTCCACTTTCCAAAGACACAATAGCTTTTATTGCCGAATGTTTTAAAATGCATAGAACAATGAATTATTATACATACCTTGTCATAAATGTATGCTCTATGTTTAAAACATATGCATAGCTATTATTATTATTCTGAGATGCACACATAGGTGCATACATACAAACATACAATAATAATTTCCCCGAAGTAACCTTATCCATAAAATAACAAGCAAACGTAGCGTTTTATTTATTCTTTTTGATATCAAATATAGAAAATAATATATACATATATATACATAAAAAAAAAAGCATCGTTATTTTTCTAGATTTCGAGTATAGAAGAATGTATTGGTTTTACAAAGATTAACAAAAATAGTTGGTATAATCTCCTAAACAGATCTTTGTACATTTTTAAGTTTAGTAATGGTTATTGCATATTAGTTTTCAAGGGGGGGGGGGAATGTTTGGCGGAAAAAATTTCTGGAAGTAAAAATGTTCTATGAAAAAATACCCGGAGATGAAAATGTTCAGCTTGTAAACAAGGGTGGGGTGATTTAAATTTGTCTAGAAAATAAGATTTGTGGGGTCTAAAAGAAATTTAATGTATATTAATCAATATTATAAGAAACAAATTTTGATATTTTAGCTTTATTATACCTATTAATACTACCTATTATTATTTACTAAAATTGTATTTAATTTGTTCTTTATATTTATATTGAGAAGGTATTTATTATATTTTTTACCTCTGGACATTTTTTCTCAGGAAAATTGTTTTCAGAAATTTGTCCTGGATATTTTAGTAGATCCCTTTGAGTATTACTACACTTCTTGCATTCAACGAGCCAGTATTTTTAGCTTGTATTCATTGTAAGTATTTTTTTTTTTTTTTATACATAATATATTAAAACCCTAATTTCAAAATAATAACAAAAATAATTGTTATTAAACATATTAATATAAGGCACCGTATCGGAAATTCTGGAACATTTCGTTAAGATATAAGTACGTTATTTCCGTATACGGAATTTATTTTATATTTGCTGATTTTTGGCTAACAGTGGAAATAAGTGGTTTCATTGTGCCAAAATTGGTTCTGAATCATCCAACAATTAAAAATCATTACAGCAATAATCAATTTGAAATTGAAAAATTCTTAGTAAATACTTTTAGTTTACCATTATTGGATGCTGATGATTGAAAACGTTTGTGTATTTGAGTTATCAAAAAATAAACCATCTGACGATAAGATTGAATAGTATTGCGACTATTCATCTGAAAATTAAATGCACGTGAATCCTTTTATGCTAAATTTAACAGTAATTAATACTATTAATAAAGGGGGCGATTGTAAATTCAACCGATTTATAGGTAATCGATTTTAAGGTTGAATTTATAACATGTAAATTCCACGAATATCACACATACATATTTCAAATAATTAAAACAATATATTTTCCGTATTGTTGGTGTAACTACATTTTGATTTAAATTTTATCTTTTCGATATTGGTACTACTGTAGGTCATTGTAGCTACAATGACTGTCATTTTTTTAACATCTGTGTACTGCCCTTCTGTAGTGTATCGTATTTTTACGTTCGGCAAATTAGGTTATCCAGATAAAATATTTTTTCCTATTACATATATAATTGTTTATCGTAAATAACTCAGTCATCGTTCCGCAATAGAATCCCTGTAGCACGTTAATCTTTTATTAACACCGGTTTTCCGTGTTATATACGCAATGTCTGATTACAGAGGATCGTCGTTCGATTTGCCGAGTAACATTGAAACAAAGGTTGGTGTCCACCATTTTTTTTTTAGAGAATCTAGATTAGTTAAACATAAATGAACACGATTTCCATATAATAATATATATTATAAATTCCTATCTAGCATATTGGTTGTTTTTTTTTCACAGAAGCTGGTAAAAGTGGTCGAAGATTTAAAACAACTCGGAAATGAAGAATTTTCAAAAGAAAATTATTTTATGGCCATCACATATTATACACAAGCCATATCAATGTGCCCAGAAGCAGAGCAAGCAGTTTTATCCGTTTTGTTTCAAAATCGAGCTGCTGCTTATAGTAAATTGGTAGGTAAATAAAAGTAATTACTTTAGTCAGTTTTATCATAGCAAAACTGGATTTTTTTTCAAATATTAAGTGTAACAATGGTACTTATTGCTTATATTATATTTACAGAATAATAAAGAAAATTGCTTGGCTGATTGTAACAGTGCTCTGGCATTAGTACCAACATACAAAAAAGCGTTATCCCGAAGAGCCAAAGTACTTTCAGAATTAGGCAACTTTAAACTTGCTTTAGAAGATATTAAAGCTGTGCAAATTTTGGATAATTTTAAAAATGGAAGTGACGAAAATTTTGCAGATAGTGTGAATAAAAGTTTAGGTGATTGCAAGAATAATTGTTAATTTCTTCAAAATTTAAAATTTTATTAATACTATAATTTAAAATTATTTTTCAGCCAAGCAGAATTTGGAAGAATACACAAAACACAATGCTTTCAATTTACCATCAAAAATATTTATTGATAATTATATGAAAACATTCTCTGACGATCCATTTTCTGATGAATTTGCACTGACATTATTAAAATCAGACATAAAGTAAGTAGTATTTAATATAAATCATAATATGCTTTAATTATCATTAAAAAATAAATTAATAGTTCTTGTTACATATGATAAATATATAATACAATGTATGTATTAATTAATTTAGTACAGGTTTGGAGTATGCATTAAAATGTATTCAGGACCAAAAGTTCGAAGAAATCGAAATAGCATGTCAAGAAGAATTAAAGAAAACTGATAATAGTTTGATTCGCAGAAGTTTGGCATTAAACTTATTAGCTACTTTTTGTATACTGCGCGGAAATTATGTTGCTGGCATTGAACATCTTACTACTGTCATCGAAAATCCAAATGTTCCAAACAAGGTATAATAATGAAGTTCATATATTTATTGGTAATTAAAATATATATTATATATATAATATAATATAATATATATTATATAAATATATATATAATATATATTATATAAATATATATATATATATAATATATATTATTATCTATACAAATTATGACGTTGTGATTACAACACAAAAAACATAACAACTTTTATTGATAACGTGTAAAATTGATAAAATACTTAATTTAACCCATTCAGAAATTTGATACCTTATTTTAATATTAGAATCCATGGCATACTAATTAACAAATATACTTCCATAAATCATTATATGCTATTACTTGGTTTTATTATTCTCTTCAGTTGATACAATATAGAAATGTTCAGACTGAGCAAATTGTCTGAGAAAACAAAAATAAGAGTGGTACTTTAAAAAAATAAATTAAAATCAGCAGTTATGTAGATATGATTTTTGTGAATAAGGGAATAGGTACAAAAAAAACGTTCACTGTTTTTTTAGATTTTCTTTTTCTTTTTTTAGTTTTGTTTTCTTAAATAGTGAGTAGAACATATTTATGTATATATATATATATATATATATATATATATATTTTTTTTTTGATGTAGACATTTAAGGGGAGAAAACTACTTAAATAATTAAATCTATCTAATTCATAGGTAGTTTTTAGCATATTTTAATTTACAATTAATATTAAAGTTTGTCTATACATGGTTAAATATTGTCAACTTTATTTTATTTTTATTATTTTAACAATGTAATTGGTATAGTTAAATTTTTGATAGCTGATCATAAATTCTTTAATTAAACGAGCATCTGGTTATCACCAAAAAGGAGAAGTTGTCAAATGTTTTGAGGATTTCAAACACGCTGAAACTATTGGTCCCAATAGTTCTGCAGTATATCACCACAGAGCTCAAGTAATATATATATATAGCATAAGAAAACATTTTTAGAAAATCCTACTATAGTAACAAAAGTCATTGATTTTTTTTTAGATTTGCTTAAACGAATTGGTCACTGATAAAGCAGTTGAAGATTTCAAAAAAGCTGTAGAATTAAATCCTAAATTTGTTTTGTCTATTGTTCATTATTATTTTGCTCAATACCGTCATGCCAGCAAAGTATCAAATGAAGTGGATGTTAAAAAATTCTTGAACAAATTGAAAGAATTTGTGATGAATTACCCAGATATTGCTGATAGTTTTAGACTTTACACGCGGGTAGAAAATTATATTATGAAATGGTGTAGTTTTTAAAATTAAAAATATGTACATTTATGTTTTAAAGGCTCTGATGGAAACTAAAGCTTATGAAGAAGCAGATGTATTTTTCAAAAAAGGCATTGAAATTCATCCAGACAACGCTACTTTTCCAGTACAAAAAGGTAATCTTGTTTTTTTTTAGTGTAAAACTCTCAGGTTTAAGGTAGGTAGCGTAGCACTACCTTACCTATACAACATGGGAATAATAGGGAATTTTAAATTTGCTATGGAAACTCGGGGAAATATGAAAAACAAAAGCTGATACAAAATCTGGTTAAAAAAGATTTGGAGCTAAGTATGGTTATAATAAAATAATAAAATAAAATAATAATATGTTTTAATAAAATAATATTAAATCGTATTATTTACAATTTTTTCCAAAATTTGATGTTAAAACTGTTATAAAGAAAATACTACACAACAAACATTTTTTTTTTTTTTACCATTAAGTAGGTATAAAATACAAAACATTTGCCAAAATTCTACTAAAACGCCTCACCACCCCATATGTGGAATGTGTCTGAGATTATCAATGTGGCTAAAGGGAAAATGAAAAATAAAGTAATTGTCAATTATAGGACAGTTCGTGTGAGAAAACATGAATATTAGCAGAATATGTGGCACCTGTTTATTGATTTTAGAATAGTGTATGAAAGCATTCACAGGAACAGCTTGTACAGAATAATGCTTGAGTTTGGTTTCCCTTAAAAGCTAATACAACTAACTCAACTGTACATAGAAGACACATATGACCAAATAAAGGCGAACAACACAGTTTCATTACCCTTCACAGTTGAATCAGGTTTGAAGCAATAAAATGCGCTTCAAAAACCTATTTAATATAGCATTAGAAAAAGTAGTGAGGGTACTGCAGTGCAATGAGGATATAGTTATGATGATCAACAATAGAATATTAAGGCTACTCGGCTTTTTAGATGACCTGTACATTATAGAAGGCATTCGAAGAAATAGTCAATGCAGCGAGAATTCTGGAAACAGAGGCGAGTAAGATTGGGCTACAGATAAATTCTGATAAAACAAAAATAGTGGAGCTTATAAATAGTAGGGTGGATTCGTGGGATAGTGGAAGATTGGCTTACAAAAAGGTAGATGATTTCAAGTGTTTAGGTACAACATTAAACACAAGGAATGATTTGTTAATAGAAATTGACAAAAGCTGAAGAACGCTAAAAAAAACTTTCTACGCTCTTGCAAAATTCTTAACAACAAAATGTTGTCAAGTAGAACAAAATCTAGGCTATATGTAACATTGTAGATATATTAAGGATATATTATTATCGATTTAAGGTGTGAAATAGTTATATGTTTACATTCAACCAATATGTCTGAAATATCTATTTTTTTAAAGTTTGCTTTCCTTAACATATTTTGTTTAGCAGTAAGTATGGCTCTTTCTGCTGCCCTATTTGACTGACACATTAAAAGTTTTATGCATCCCAAAAACTTTTAGATTCACTAGAACTAAATGGTTGATTGTCAGAATAAATAATTTTTGGATAACTATTATACTGAAAATGTTTCAAAAGTAGAAAATAATTTCTCTAATCATCTTATTAAATCTAACTAGTTCTAACAACTTAGAGTAATGGTAAAATAGACCCACTCTCCATAGGTTAATTTATCTTTACTTATAAATTCAAAGGATAGTTTATACACAAGATGTGGAATTAACAGCTCTTTTTATTGGTGTTTATAAACTGATCACATACATTACATTTTAATACAATTTTCTGTAGTTCATTATTTAGCCAAGACCAATAAACAATTATATACTTCAATATCATAATGAAGTGTGGGGATATCAACTGAGACACATAAGATACAAATTGTCTAAGAAAGTTAAACATTCCAATACTTTTTTGCAACTCTAGTTTATTTTTAGGCCCTTTAAATTTATTTATAGCCTCAATTTTATCAGAGATACTTTCATTTTATTTTTATTAATATTATTCCCACATAAATTATTTCATTCTGTTTAAAAACAAACTTTTTAAGATTAAATTTTGTACCCAAAGACCTATCTCTTTCAAATACTAACTTCACTGCTACATCATGGGATTCCTCATTTTAACATTTTTTTATTTTGTTTTTGGAACTCCTCAGGGGTACTCGACAGTCCAAATATCCAGAAATCTTGTAAATCTCAAGTACTCAAAACGTGTACTAAAATTACAAATATTACTTAAATCTTTAATTTGCTAAAATCCATTTTCAAGATCTAATAATGAATATTATTCTTTATTACAAAGACTTGCTCTAATCTCATCCATGGTAGTTATTAAATTATACTCTCTGATAATATATTTATTCTATTCTAATGGATGGCAGACATATAAAACATTTCTTGTTAGGTTTCTTAACTATTACAATATTACTGCATTATATACCAGGTCAATCTACTGGTACTATCACATTATATCTAATCATTTCTTCCAATGTTTTTTAACTCAGTTTTGATAGATTCTGGAACTCATTTAGGCAGATTAATCCAGTCCTCACTATTTTCTTTAGTTTTAATTTTTATGTTTCTGGGAAACTTTCTAAATCCTTAAAAAGATCTTTATGTTTATCAATTATTTGTTTTGCATCATCATCACTTTCAGTACTATTTATTTCTATTTTACAGATCAAATTAAATTGTTTGCATGTATCTATCCAATAATAAAAACACATTTATCTTGTAATTCACCATTTACAATAATGAACTGAGGATAATGTGTCTGTCCAAAGTAATACAATTCAGTTTTACAGTCCTAACTAGTTTTAGAACATATCCTCTATATTCTTGTGCCTTGTAATTGATTTTTTTAATAATTTCATTATTTTTTACTCTAGGAAAAAGATTTTTTTAAGAGACAAAAGTCTATAATCGAGCCTATGCCTAACTTAAATGCAAAAATAAAATTATTAATTTTTATATCTTTAAGCTACATTTTATAATTATTTTTATCATTGAACTGTTGTTCCTGTTCACTTACAATAATACTACAAAATATATATCAAATGAGTTATGCTTAAAATCACTAATGACAACATTATATGCATTATTATTATTTATATTTAAATTCATTATTGGCTATTAGTTCTGTACCAAAGTTTGAAATGATTTAGTTTTCCACAATTGATACATTTCTTTCCAAATACAGAATAGCTCCTTGGACCATGTTTATATCCACACTTTTTACACTCATAAGGTTCGGTGACTTGTGAACAGTCTTGCCCATCTGACTACTTATCCTTTTATTCTGTCTTCTTTGTATTCTGTTTCATTCAGTTACTTTATTCATTTTCATCCAGTGGCGATGGAGCAGGAACCACATTTTGTCAATTCGACTGCGCCATGTTGTACTAAGTTCTGAATGACAATTATCTTATTATTAATATTTAAAAAAAATAACAATACTACATATAATAATTTATTATAAACAGATATTTTATTTAAGAATTACTTGAGACTTATATTTTAATTAACACCAACACTGTCTGTTGTACACTCCAACATTAATTATGATTGTGTGTGTCAAATATATATGACTAACTTTTAGGTTACATCTCAAAGTGATGTTACACTTTAAAAATTATTAAATACTTCAATTAGTAAGTTTTTACCTAATAATAATTATGAAAGTAGTCTGACTAATTATTATATTGTTAACTTTTATGTGCTTATGTTATACAATTGTTTTGCTAATAATGTTTAAAATTAATATAACATTTAATGCGAAAATAAGTATAAACAACAAGCTTACTTGTTAGCTTACTAGAAATTAATTGTATTTTTTTCAGCATTGAACTTATTATCGTGGAAAATTAATATATCTGAAGCATTAATTCTCATTGAACAAGCATTAAACATTGATCCTAAATGTGATTTTGTGTATGAAATACTTGGAACATTTAACATAGAAATGTAAGATATTAAAAAGAAATTTATGTAATATTTTTAAATGATTATTTCAATACCATTCTGTTAAGATGTTTTTGGGTTTTGAATTGAAAATATTTTAATAATTTTATTACAATTAAAAAAATCATTGTTACTAAATTATTTGATTTATTTTTACTAACCAGATTTTGATGACAATTTGAAATTACCATCATAACTCAATTTATTGAGAATTGTTTTTTTCAATTTACATTCAATTTAGAGAAATTTGAGAGATTGTTACACCAAATTGTTTAGTAAACCAGTATTATAAAATCTGAATCTGTATCATATATTGATATGAACAAATCAGCATCAGAACTAGCATGGTACTCCGGTTTGGTTTACCAATTTCCAGAGACATATTACCTTAATAAACTGTGCCTTGTAGTAGATTCACTTAGACAACATTTGATAATCAAAAAAAAGGTATTGTGGAAAAAAATGATTCAATATTAGATTATTCTATGATTTTTGCAGACATAAAATCCATAAAATAAATATACATACATATTGTGAATTAGTTTTTTTAAATACAAAATGTATACATGGAAAAAAAATGACAACTTATTAATTTCTTCCACAATGCCTTTTTTTTGCTTATCAAAGCTTATCCATTCAATTAATATGTATAAATAATTATGCATTAGATGTTTTTCATTAGCATCATTAAATTATTTTTATATTTTATTTGTACTTGTGTGTTTCAGTGGAAAATTAAAGGAAGCTGTTGATTTTTTGGAAAAAGCTATACCTCTAGCTAAATCAGAAAAAGAATTGTTACGCATATTTTCATTACGGAATTCAGCACAGGCCCAATTAGCAGCATCTGAACGTTTTACAATAACAATTCCCAAAGTTGATTGAATTTTGGAAATTCAATCAAAAAAATTTAAAATATTTAGCTCTATTATGGACTAGATATTATTAGAAAAAATAACATTATTAGTTAATTTTAGTTATTATTAGTTCCTTTTTTAACTTACCAGTTTTTAGTTTATTAAAAATTATTGTAATTTTTTACACGGATAGTAACATATTGTTTGATAATTATTCTATTTACTATAAATATTGAGTTCTATTCTATTCTATTATATCTTTATTTAATGAATGTGACTTCTAATTAGTGGCATAGGTGCATTAAAATATTATACAACTGCTTTGAATATTGTCAAAAATATTATTTATTTATTTATTAATGCCAAATAAACATTTTTTTTGTAGACAGCCATAATATCTACTATAATTTATTAAATTTATAGTGTAACAGCTTAAGTACAATTAAAATAAAATATAAATCTTTTAAACTAGAAGGAGTTTTAATAATATTTGAAGTTTTATAATAAAACAGAATATTTTAGCGAATATTGATAGTATTTTTAGTAAATAAAAAAAAAGAGTTTCTTATTGCTCACAAAAATGTTGATTGTTGAATACCTAAAAAATAAAAAAATATAAGTCATTTTTTTTACAACTCCTTTGCACGTGACAACTCCTTTACACATGGTTAATACTAGAGATGGAAGTTATTTGAATAATTATTTATTCAAATAATCTTTATTATCATTACTAAATATATTATACTATTATAATACAAACAAATACATTTTTTGAGTAAATTATTCAATAGTCAGTATGAATAATATATATAGTCTATATGTTGTATTCTAATAGTGTATAGATTATGAATTTAATATAGTATTAAGATTAAAAAAAAAAAATATGTTAACATAATATAGGTAATTAAAATTCAAAATTAATCATTAATATTTTAACTCTTTACTGGTCATCCATGAAATTTTGTATAATTCACATTATGGCAATATAGTAACTTACGAATTTCCAATTTGAATTGTGATAGATCTAAAAGAAAAATATAATATTCCAGCTATATTTTCATTATCATTATTTTTTAATTCATAACTTGAGGACATTTAATAGCAGATAATAGTAGATAATTAAACGTGAATATTTAAAATTTAGAGAAAGTATTTAGAATATTATGTCCCTGTAAGGACAATGGGAGCAAAAGGGTTAAATACTGCACTTTTGTTACAAGTTTCTCATTATTTTCTGTAAGTAGTATGTTTTTTTTCTCTAGGTAATCATTTCATAGGTTCATTTCTAAAAGATTCTTTCCATCATAATATTAAATTCATTAATTTTATCGCTCATATTTTGAACCCGGCCAGCTAGTGTTTTCATAATAATTTTTTCTATGTTTGGATGTTGATCTTTTTAGTTCATAAATTTCCATTTGATTTTGCAATCATAACAAGTGCATTTGGTTTTTCTATTATTAGACATTTTTACAAACAAATTTTCATTTAAGCCAAGACAATAGCAATGACTTACAATTTTGTATTCCGAATATATTATTTTGTCTTCTTTAATTAACGTCTCAAGGCATTTCCTACAATTCATTTTACTCGGTGTTGACTATGTGTATCAATTCGACAACCCATTACTATAGAATACCGACATAAACTGAAAATAATATACAATATTCATTATAATTGTTTACAATAGGTAATTTATCAAGTTCAAGATATTGGTTCGTGTGTGGTTGCCACTATTTTCCGATCAGGAAGGTGCCATAAATATTTTAAAAAGAGAAATCAAAACATAGTACATCAGAAATCAAAAAGACTACCAAAATGGCATTTATGAAATTGAAGCAGGATGAAAACGGGGCTTCAAAGTCAGGCGCAGGTGCAGGAGCCAGATGCCCAGGTGCTATAACTAATACATGGCCGCCCACCCTGGTGCAAGGTGTTGTTCAGGTGCCAGGGGCTATACTTTAACATGGTCGCCCGAATTGTCCACCTCATCATCGATGTATATTTTTCCCCCCATCCATTTTTTCAAAATATTTTTTTTCCTACATGCACCACGTACTCGACCTGTTTGGACCACGCCCCCTTTATCCAAATATTTTCTCGAGACAATATCTGCTACTAACTCGACTTACCTATATCGTTATCATACACCTACGATTATTACTTTATAAGTATTACGATAGTTTACGTGTTCGCGCGCTCGCGTTGTCCCGCATACCCACTATAACCGCCGAATATATCCTGCGAACATATACCGCAATAGATTATTATTTTTTCCCCAACATTATTATGCCGTGATGTATATTCTGTGGATCGCGTTAGTATTCATTATTACGTAACATACCATTAGCGATCGTTTAGTGCGTATTAATATTAATGTTAACGAGCTCGCGATCGCCTTACCCCGCCGACGCTATCCGTACCCACTGCGCTACATTTCACCTAAGCGACAAGATATTATTATGCATATTGTTACAAAAAAACACGGAATTGTGCTGTTGGGCGACGTCGGTGGCCCGTACGTTCCTGCCAGCCAATGTTTCGCCGCCCGTCAATCGGGCGACCGCCGACCAAGCGCGTATTGTTTTTCTCGGAACGTCGGCGGCTGCCGCCGGTTACAGAGGTCGTTACATAATTGTCTCTTCGCGCGCGTCACCATACCCATCGTATATAACCTAAACCACCCCGCACTGTCCCGTACGCCGTAGTTAATATGGAGTACCTATACGAAAACAAATTATTTTATACGCTGGTATTACGTAATCGTCGTCGTCGTCGTCTTTTACCGCGGATTTCCGTTAACGACAACACAACTGTTATAACTGTGCATCGACCAACGAGGTCAACGACACGATCGTTAATTACACACACACACACACACACCATAGATAACAATCGATACATACGATAGTTTACAACCGGTCGTGGAAACTCATTGGGGAACACTGTATAACAATCGGCCATTTCGATTGTTAATTACTTTTGACAATCGGTCGCTATCCATGACCACAACGACGGGACGATCGACCGTCAGTACCGGTTTTACTATACACACCGTCGTCCGAGCGTCTCGTTGTTTTCTCTCGCGTCCACCGTTTTTTCAAAGTCTCGTAATTTTTTGTTACGTAGTTGTCACTTGTTATTTCAATTCGTTCGTTTGCATATCGTTTTTTTAAAAATGAACACGTACGAATGTACCTTCGCCGATTTTCCCCGATAGCGATATGGACGACATAGGATAATCTCCGCGCCACGAAAGAAGTAACCCGTTTCGCACGTGCAGACTGACGGCAGGGAGCGTGTGACTAGGCTCCGTTTCCCCTACAGTTCGCGATGCGGCGTGCGTACAGCGTGAAATAAGCGATACGCAGAGTGATTATATTATAATGTTATTTATAATATCGTATATCACGTGCAGAACAAATCATTAAACAGTCAACGGAGTGAAAGCGATCGCGCGGTTCATAGAGGTAGTGGCACAGACGCGTCGACGCGCTGCATCAAGCGTACGTAATGACTAATGATACACGCTGTACATCGTTCCGACCGTTAACGATTGTGATGTGACCGTGCAACGACGGTATGCCAAATGAGTGGGAGATGCGTGAAGTGGCACGCGATTCGGTCAGGACACGGGTTACTTCTCTCGTGCCACGGAATAGCAACGATCCAGAATCGTTGAGCGATGAGTTACGGGAAAACGGAAATGCCGTACCTACAGAATTATTGGAAGAATTCGATGCGCCTACCGAACCGATTGTAACACGGAGGGACAGTAGACGAACCGGCCGCGGCGAAACATTTTGTAGAGCGTATGGTCGACGTCAGCAAGAAAGTGGAGAATTTATTGAAGACGAACAAACCAATTGTATTAACACCAGCGGAGATTGACAGACATGTAGCGAGCGAAAATTGTAATTTGTGGAACGGTTAGGTCGAAGACCATAACCGCCTATCCGGTAGATATTAGCAGGCATTGTGCATTACTTGCAATTTGAAATGTCAAACACCGAAATTTGTCCCCCGCTTCTTCCATAATTTATCGAATTACGATTCGCATTTCATCGTCACGGTGCTGGGGTTTGATGCGCAAACGATTTCCGCCATACCGAACAGCGAGGAGAAATTTATATCGTTTTCGAAGTACGTGAGTAACACCTTCACTGTACGATTTATGGCGTCGAATCTCGCGTTTCTATGCTGCTGATGTTTGAAAGAGGTGAAAAATTGTATATTATTTTATATAACAATTATATACTAATCGAAAAATTTTATTTTTTTTCAGAGATACGTGGCTAATTGATGCAAGCTAGTATGCGTTATGGGAAGGCAAACAATTATACGGTGGAAGACTATGACACGACAAAGAAGATTCATGGATTATAAATCAGGATTGTAAGTAAACATATTATTTTCAAGTATGTCAGTCACATACTTATAATTTTTTGTATTTTTCTGTTCATTTTAGGTAACAATTTGTACAGGTGGGGGATGTTGCAGTACATGCCCCATGGTGGCTTCCATTGGGTAGAACCGACACTAATCGGACTCGAGGATTTAGGTGACACTTCGCACATAAGACGGGTATACGAGGTGGACATTGAATATCCTGAAAATCTGCACGTAGAATATAACGATCTGCCGTTTCTACCAAATGACGAAATGCTGCTCAGTTCTAAGATAAAGAAGTTGATGGCTACGTTGAAGGAAAAGACAAATTATATTATTCACTACAGGAATTTGAAACAAGCGATGGCAAACAGTCATGTCGTTAAAAAGGTAAAATCATGTTTATTATTTTTTATTAATTTTATTAATTATATTTATATTATAGGTTCATAGGGTTATACAGTTCAATCAGTCACCGTGGTTGAATGAGTATATTGGCTTGAATACTGAGATAAGGAAGAAGGCAACTAATGAATTTGAGAAGGACTCTTACAAACTGATGAACAATGCAGTATTTGGTAAGTGATTACTTTTCTAGGTAAGACGATGGAATCTATGAGACGGAGGATTGATGTTCAACTGTTATCGAGTGAGAAGAGAGTGCAGAAATTGATAAACATTGCATGACATACAACGAAAACCTATATGCAGTGACACTGGAGATCAAAATAATTAATTTATATATACTCCGCGCACAATAAGAGTATGACCAGTCGCGCATTCAAAATAACTTGCTCCACTGCATCGCTCGCCGTAGTGGCGTTTGCATATAGAACGCTTCACGCGATAACAGAATCGTGCAAATGTTTATCAAACCATAGTTCTCATTCCAGTACACTGTATAGTCGTAAAATGATTTTATGACAGCCGTGGCATTGCAAAACACATCGCGTAAACAATACAACTTACTCACCCTATAATACTTGGATGTATAATTATTCTACTAGATGTAACGGTTGTGTCAATCCAAAACTTATTCACACAATCGCTGGTGTTGTATCCTATATCCGGTTGATGCCGGGTTCACCGTCAATTTTGGTTTCTTCCGTAAATGACGACGGATACTCGTTTATTTGAGTTCGACTTTTGGGATTAATCAAACACTGAACTCATCCGTTTTGAAATAATTACTTATTGTTTATTATTATTTATATTTATTTAAAAAGACATTTAATAGGTTCTATGTATAACTATAATATATGTATAACTAANTCGTTGTTTTAACTCTACTGCCGTCGCCGAGCGCATGAAATCGCGCATCCTCAAGACGTTACCAAAAAATAATATATTGCTTACTTAGCTAAATACAAACTATGTTTTAAACCAAGGGTTCTCAACACCGGTATTAAGCCAAGTTTCATCTAGGTAATAAATGGATCTACCTTCTTCTCGAAAACAATGAATTGAAATTAAATATTGTCTTCTCCAACTTACAAGATCTCTTTTTTCTGGTAATATTCTATTTCTTTGGCATTTTGTAAATTTAAAATTTAAGCTCTTCAGAACTTTCCTTCAAATTTGGCAATGTATTGTCTTTGTTAATACTAGTTAATACCTTCGCAAGGATTTGCTGTGTTGGATATCTCCAAGACCAAAATGTATGATTATCATTATAATGTTATGAGTAAGCATTTCAAAGACACCATAAAGTTGATGTACACTTATACAGGTAAATTATTATTTTTTTTTTTCTTATACGTATTATATTATTTTTTAGATTCATTGGTGTACCATATTGCGACGAAGGACTTTTATGCTGACTTACTAACCAGACCAGGGCTTTTGGAGTGTACGGATACCGCCAACCTATCTAGAGACCACCCAGGTCACAGAGAGGAAGAAGGTACCACGTCTTTTCTCCGATTAGACAGACGGGCTGGCAATTACAGAATTTTGTGAGTTGCGAGCAAAAGCGAATGCATATAAGATAAATGTAGTGGAGAAAATCAAGATGAGAGGAATCCGGGGTCATGTGGTAAAAACTACATGACTTTTGATCACCTTAAGAAGTGTATGTTCAGGGATTTAATCACATACAGGGAGAATGTATGTAGCGGGCGATATATACAAAATATACAAGAATTAAACTTCTGTTGGACTATGGTATGCTGCTGATGTTTGAAAGAGGTAAACAATATTATATTATTTTACTTAACAATTATAATATTAATCGAAACATTTTTTTTTTCTGGTATATGTGGTGGTCTCGTACAGATGAGTACGCAAAGACGAACAATATAATGTTGGAAGACTATTACAAAATGAAAGAAGATCCATGGATTATATACCAGGATTGTAAGTATACATATTATTTAAAAAATATATATATATATCAGTCATATACTTATAAATTTTTGTATTTTCTGTTTATTTTAGGTAACAATTTGTACGAGTGGGCGATGTTGCAGCCCCATGGCAGCTTCAAGTGGGTAGAACCGATACTAGTCGGGCTCGAGAATTTAGGCGACACTTAGCACATAGGACGGATATACGAGGTGGGTATTGAGGATCCAGAACATCTACATGAGGATTACAATGATCTTCCTTTCCTTTCTAATAACATAGTTCCACTTGGTTCCAAGGTGAAGAAACTGGAAGAGGAAATGCATTTATATGCATTATTATACACTTCAGAAATTTGAAGCAGTCGATAGCGAATGGGCTAATTGTAAAAAAGGTAAACTCTTCAGAACTTTCCTTCAAATTTGGCAATGTATTGTCTTCATTAATACTAGTTAATACCTTCTCAAGGATTTGCTGTGTTGGATATCTCCCAAGATCAAAATGTATGACTGTCATTATAATGTTATGAGTAAGCATTTCAAAGTGTAAGAACACGGCTAATCTACTTAGAGACCACCCGTGCTATGTCACAGAGAGGAAAAGGTACCACATATTTTTTCCGATTAGACAGACGGCTGACAATTACACAGTTTTATGCATTAAGGACAAAATCATATGCATATAAGATAGACGGGAAGGAGAAGATCAAGGCGAAAGGCATCCAGGGTCATGTCGTTAAAATCACATGATGTTTAATGACCATGATAAATGTCTGTTCGGTGATGGAGATCTGAACGTATATAATAAAAATAATGTGTCGATTCGCTTGTTCCACCATCAACTTAAGACTATCTCTACAAATACACTTAGCTACGACAACTACGATTAAAAGAGGATAACTATGAGAGACAAGATACACACAATGACATATGAACACCACCAACTACTATAAGACAGCGAATATTTATATTGTAAAAATTGTACATATTTTTTAAATAAAAGCAAAAAATGTAATATATGAAATAATCGATAAATAAATAATATTTTAACAAACAACAAAAGAAGTTTTTTTCCCACTAAATTTCACACCCATAGTCCATGTTACTGAAGTGATTCACTCTCCTTTCTTCTACTTCCTGCAGTCTGGATGGTGGAAACACATCCAGTCCCTCTATAACATCCTGTCTATCAATATTTTGTGATGGTATTTTCTTTAATTCTGCTAATTCATACGATTTTAATATTTTGCCTCTATCTAACTTGATGACTTTTAATAAGAATTTGAAAAATTAAATTGATCCAATACATGTTACTAGCCACCACAGTAGTATGTGTTAAACTTTCTTTTTTAGCTTTTTTTTCCAAAATAGCATGTCTGACATCGCAATTTATTTTATAATTGGCTTCATATATATTTCTCAAAATGATCTATATCATAACTAGAGAATTTTATGAGATCAATTGTTAACCATTTAATAACTTGGTTAATAAATTTCCTACTGATCTTAAAGCTACATTCCTTGCAACCATTTCCTCTGACGTGGTATTTCCTATAAAATTCACCTTTCCTGGTATTACACCTATTACATAAAGCATCTACACTAAATACTATCATTGAATTATAATGTTTCCAGTAAGATATCTATCTGCATCTAGGAACTATAATATTGTGTATTGGACGGTCATTATTTCAATTGATTCCACAACTACAACATTTATAAAAATAATAAATTAGTGTTCTCAGAAAAAAAAAAAAATACAATATTTTCAAACATACACGATTTAGAATCCATATCTTATTCTTTTATATGAAATTTGTGTAAGTCTTAATGATATATCAGCGGATGTGTCGATGACTGCAGAACAGAAATCGATTATCATTCAATTTAACATATTCGTCCACCGCACTTTCCAATAATGATGAATTACAAATTCCTATACATAATACTGAATCGCATACTCTACCATGCGAAAGTTTTATGTACTTCGAAGGATCGATAACACAACCAGCAGGTTCAACTGAAGATGCTAATTTTATACACAACGGATCGACATTTCTTTTCTCCGAAATTAAATACGAGCTGAACAGAATTCAAATACAAAAAATCGTTAACTCCCGCATATCTACAACATTAAAAGTATATTGTTCGTATACTAAATCGGATATTACTTCCCATTATAATGCCGCTTGGGATAGTGATTTCAAAAATGCCAATACAAATTTTATTGAAAGTTCGTCGTTTAACCGGTGTGTTAATCTAACAGATTTGTTTGGTTTTAGTGAAGATTAAAAACGGATTCTAATAAACTGTAACTAACCACTCGTGTTAAATAGAGCTTCATTGGATATAAACGCAGTTAAATTTCCCGACTATAATGCAATAGATATCCCTAAATTAAAAGACGTCAAAATCAATATTTCTAAAATAGTATGGAAAATGCCAATGGTGCAAGTTGGCGATAAAGAAAAAATTAAATTAATATAAATAAAACACAAAATACGTTTTACAAACTGATAATGGAATTCTTATCTCGTAGGTAATCTAATCGAAGCTAACCGAAGAACAGGACTTCTAAAGGTTCTCTAACAATGTGCGCTATGCTAATAATTTATATGCATACTATATACCACGTGTACATGCATATTCAAGCGATGCTCCGCCCATAGTGTATGATCTATTTATATTTTCACAATTCATAATCACGGTTTAAGATATATCTTAAGATCACGATTATATATATATCTTAAATCGTGTTCACAATACAATAATATGATTATTAGTAAACATTAGTAGTTACACGCCAATAAGTTGATTCGAGTTCAACTTTGCGGTATTCTGGTAACAGTATGATCTACCGGAACGCTATAACCAATCACAGCATATCCGGTACATGCACGTACACGGGATAGCTGAAAATCCGCCTTAAGGTAAGGTAACTGTATCTAAGCGTTTATTCTATAAGTAGGCAGGTACTGATAAGAACCGTTCAGTTTATTAGTGATATAAACCGTTTTTTTACTGTCTGGTATATCTAGGGTTATGGTTCTAGGTATACCAGACAATCGTTTATCGTAATCAGATAGAAACTTTAACCACAGAGTAGATGTTATAATAGACCATGAATATTGTCTAATGTTCATTATCTAATTTTATAATTTTTGATAAAACCGCGATTGTAATTATTCTAACTCAAAATTTTTCAACTTTTAACGAAAAACAACATTATGATAATGAAAATATGTTCGATATCCGTAAATCACGTTTTTTTATACGATCCGAATTTCTGAATTATCAATAGTGATTTATGTTATTCTTATTCATCATCAACTTTTAATAGTTCTAAACATGTGAATTGGATAGATAGATAGATTTGAATTGTTTTTGATTTCGTTTTTCTAGAAAAAGTTAAATCAACTTCACTCTAAAAAATACCTACCATGTATTATTTAGAAGATTATTTAGAAAGTAAGTTTAATTGTTAATGTTAAATATTTGCCTACATTGATAATGAACTGATAAATTTACCTATGTTCAAATGTTTTCTTAAAGAACTAGAATGCTTACCAGAAGAAATAAAAAAAAACTTGATGAAATTAGGCGAAATGGACCACAATGTAATAAGTATGTCATAGAATCTTTTTTATCTATCTATTAGAATATTAATAGTGAATTTTTTAATCTATTCATTGGTCAATTGATTAATTTATTCAATAATCTAAATCATTTTATATTGCCTATTTCGTTGTAAATATTTCTCGTATAGTACCTACATCTACATTGATGGTATAAACGAATCAAAAATACAAGATGTACAATTAAAATGTCATTTACATGTTAATTGTCTTGCATAATAAAATTCAGTATTACTACTTGATACAAGATATATTAAGTTAGAACAAGTTTTAGAACACATCTCTTACTCAAATATAAAATTTAAGAAATACTGATATAGATCAGTTTTTCCAAACTTATAGGCCACAAAATATTTTTGATGGAAGCAATGTTGATAAACTAATGAGGAAAATATCTTGATTATATTTAAATAAATTATCAATTGCATTGAATAGATGTTTTTGAAAAAACATTTGTGACAATTTTCAATGATAGAAAAACTTATCATTATTTTCATTTCAAAGTTGAATTCCAATGCTCTTCTTGAAACTTAGATTTTAAAACTTTTTTTATAATAACACTTATGAAAATAAATTTAAAATGAAACTACTGTAGATTCTTTTTATGTCAAACGTCTATCTTAAATTTTGTGTTATCTAAAACTACACTGAAATCCCCTTGAAACTACCATTATAAACTCAATAGTATTTTACTCTTGGTAACATGAGTATACAAATATTTTTATTATAATAAGAACAGCAAATTGTACATTACATTTCGTAATGTAATTGTGATTGCAGAGTTGGTATTCAATATTTGTAATTCTTTGTACAATATAGTGAAATGGAAAATAAGCGTAAATTAAATGTCCATTCAATTTCGGACAATGTTCGTTTAATAGGTAGACATAGTTGAAAAAGGTGACTGTAAAAATGTCAAATTGCTAATGAATTCAATATTCCACCAAATACATTATTGCCATTATAAAACTTAACATTAATGGAACAATTTTATTTGTAAAACAAACTTTAATGACAGTTTTTTAAAAAATTAATTAATTAATTATTGCAGTTCATTGATCTGTATTAGGGTTAAAATTTTAATGTAACTCGATATTTCAAACTTTTTTCTGTTCCCCTTGAGATTTGACATTACGAGAATCTAATGTTTTATGCATTTTTGCTGTGTATGTAATGAATATCCAATCCAGAACTTTCATTAAATGAGATAATAAAACTATTACTTTTCCCTATCTACATGGGTGGATAGACTTACCAAGAAGTTGAGAATTTCTTAGTGTCCCTCCCCTCTGATGGGCCCCCATTATTTTACTATTGATGTTTTGTATTTTATTTTCATTTTGCAATATTTCACATAATTAGCTATTCATTGTTTAGTATAAAATTAAATAATAAAAATGCATTAATATAGGTATTAATATAATACCTATTACTTTAATTATTTATTAATAACAGAGCTATAATTTATATGCAACAGCATGTTTTTTTGCGACTTCTGATTATTGATTTTGTCAGTAATTTCCACAAATCGCCTCAGGATGAGATAAATGGTGGCGTTTTTATTTTGCATGTTTTTGCATATTTTGAATAAAATGCATATTATTGCATATATTGAATATTTTGATTATAAGAATTTCAAAAATGCATGTTTTATAGTATTTTATATTTAATTTTAGCCCTTCTGATTTTTGTCAAACATAAATTTTATTTTTATAAATAAAATCCTATGGTATAATAGGTATGCAATAAAATATTGAATAGTTTGATGGAGAAAGACTTCATGAAAATTTACAGATTATAATAAATGCTAGTAATCGACTTCTTGAGTGTAACTGAAGAGTCGCAGATAAAGTTAAAAACGAAATCCTTGGTTTTACAAAAAAAAAAGGATTTAAAACTCTATAATCAATAAATAAAATATTAAATGGCGAATCAGAGAAGGACAATTTCAGTTGTAATTTAACACCAGGACAAATTTCTTTATTTAAATATGCGCCAATTACATTATGTGAAGTTGAACGGAGCTTTAGTTAATATAAATCAATACTACGATCCAATCACCTATCATCTATATTTTAATATAAAAAAATATGATGTAGCATGTAATACACATATTTCCACTATTGAATGTGAATTATAAATTTTATTTCCAAATTATTTTATTTTATTTTATTTCTCAACTATATTATATTAAGATAAACAGCCAATCGCTGATGTATTTCAATAAATAAATATTTTTTTTGTAGCTATATTTTTGTGTTTATCCTATATAAATTTAAATACATATTTTTGCATATTTTAGTAAACAAAATGTATATTTTAAAATTTTTTATTGCATACAAATCCTAGCCATGATTATTACTATTGTTAATATAACTGTATTAAACCATTATGGAATAGTTACCTAATTTTTTTTTTCTTTTAGTGGGACCTCCACACCTAACAAAGAGTAAATTTGTGTGTCCTCATTACAAAAATATTTGGAAACATTGTTTTATATATATTTAATATTATTACGTAGACTTTTTTATTTAATTTAATGTAAACTAAATTTTAAAAAGTATTCTTAACAAAAAAAAAAAACTTATTGAATAAAAAATTAGAATTGATGAAATTAGAGGTATAATAAACTAACAGAGTTGTTACTTCTTACTTATATATTTTTTACCCAATTTATTTCAGCATCTATGGATAATATTCGTAAAAGAGTGGATATTTTGTTTTCGAAAGCAGACCATATAGATCCACAAGAATTCGAAACAAATTTTCAGGCTATTATGTCTGATGGGAGTAAAACTGTTGAAGAATCCGGTAAATATATTGTTTTTATTTAATGAAAAAAAATGTATAAAGATTATATTATATAATTTTAAATTTCAATCTTAGATGCAAAAATTCAGCTGGCTGACCAAATGCAAGAACTCATGACCAAGTACATTGGGCGATTAGACCAAGAAATACACAAATTCAAAATGGAAATGGAAGCTGATTATAGTGGTATTACTGAACTTATTGAAAAAAGTGAATATAGAGTTGAATACTACCACAATATTTTTTTTAATTATAATTTTTAAATACCTTTTATGTTTAGGAAGTTTAGATTCAGAGCAGAGCAATGTTAAATATCCCTCACCAAAAAAAGGTCAGCTGAACAGACGTCTCTTTGGAGGTAGGTAGTTTAAACATTTAGCTTTTATCCAGCTACATTCCTTGCACCTTTCTATGGTTCCTGCATTTAATAATGTAACATTTGCAGATTTTTTAAATGATCATTTCATTTACTTTAAAACCTATTTTAACATAATTATATTATCACCATTATTTTATTTAAGATGAATACAATATTATTTTTACACTATTATATTGCATTATTCATTTACTTAGAGTTACAAAATATGTTTTTATTCTATTTATTTGACTAATTTGCTCTATTGAACTCATTGTCAGTGTATTATAATTTATCATTTGTAGATCGAGTATATCAAAGAAACTAATAGTTTTGCTAAGCTGTTTGTATGTTTTTTTGTCTTGGTAAATACTTTTGCAATTAGTGAAAATTCTCAGATTGTTTCATAAAGTACCTCAAAAGATGTGAAATTTCTGTCCAGTGTTTTTTAAAATATTTATTAAAATGTTCAACAGTTCAATGTAAATTGTTATTGTTCAATATTCAGGTGTTAATTGAAGTTAAATTTTTTTAGTAGTTTCATTTTTTATGGCAAATCACACACTTATATAAAGAAATTTGAATAATATACATTTAATAATATTATAAAAATAAGTTACCTTTAGGTAGGTAAGTTAAATTATACAATTATTGTAAAATAGAATTATCTCGGAGACAATCTTTTCTATTATTAATTATTTATTTTCTATACATTATTAATAAATTACTAAAATTTGAATACAAACTCAAATTAATTTAATATCAGTAGTTATATGTGTTTTTTTTAAAAAAAATCTAACATTACTTATTTGGATTTTTATAAAAATGTTAAATACTAATTATAAATTGCATGTATTTTTTTTTTATTTTGTGTTGTAGAAAAGAAAAGAGAAATATATAACATTAGCCTGCATAAAGAAAAATCAATAGTTTCTAGTTCTACTAGTAATATAGATGTAACACAGTCTTCACAATATTATCCGAATCCTATGCACACTCTTATGACTTTACCTTACTCCTTGGGACGAAATAAACCTTGTAGTACTGTTACATCCCAAACAATTAGTGATGCTCAACAGGTATTTTGAAGAAAAATATATATATTTAAAATATCACAAAGAAATATTAAAGTTTTTGGTTTCCCACTTTGATTATTTACATATATTTATGTATATGTATTTGAATTGAGTTTTAGTAAAAAAAAAAAAATCAAATTACTTAACAATCTTTGTTAAATTTATATATTTATTTTAAATGAAATAATTTTTTTCTCTTTATTAATATTAATGTTAAATTATACTTGTTTTAGCTTCCTGGAAGGTTTAGTGTGAATAGTTCAGAAGCGTCTATAGAAACCTTTAGCCCTGAAATATCATTTGGAAGTCAAATAGGAACTGTTACTGACGTATTGTTTCCAGAATTATGTTGTGATGAATTATCGAAGACTGAACACAATAGGTTACATTAATATTATAACATAAGACCAATATTAGTGTTTTAATTAATAATTAGGTACATAATATTTTTTTGGGGAATTTTAATTACTGTAGCCAGGAAGAAATGGGAAATTTAACTATGCTAATGGATGGAGACACAAGTATTACAAGTGATGTAGATGAAATTCGTTACTGTACATGTAATGATGTAGCTTATGGTGCAATGGTTGCCTGTGATAACAAAATGGTAATTAAATAATTAATATTTAGGGCTGTGAATTTGTAAGAAAATGTATTTGTTTGTTTTAACTGACTGTGAAGCTTTCTAAGTAAATTTGAATGATATAACAACAAATTTATTTATGAAACTTTTATTTTCCATTTTTTAACAGTTTTAATTTTCAAGATTATTTTTTGGATTTGTTAAGTCATATTTTCCTTTTTAGTCAAACAGTTTAATCAAATTTTAATAATTAACATTTTAACACACATATTTTTTTGTTTTACTCAGGCCGTACTATTTGATGTGTATACATCAAATTTACATTTTATAAAATAATATTTTATACAAGCTATATAGTTTATACTGGTTAGGTAAAGATAAAGATTTGATAAAATAAGACAATATTGCAGAAATAAACTAATTTAACATTCAAATTCGATCAACATTTTTATAATTTTTTTTTTATTAAATAAATAGATGTGTCAAAATAAAATATAAATTAAATTAAATTGAAACCGATTTTAAGTGCATTTTTAAGGTTTTTTACTGTATTAAATTCACAGTCCTATTCATATTACATAATATTATGTCATATATTTAATTATTTAATACTTACCTGTGTAGTGCCCATATGAATGGTTTCATTATAAATGTGTTGGTATCAAAACTCCCCCAAAAGGCAAATGGTATTGCTCCAAGTGTAAAAAAACATCAACAAAGGCTCAAAAAGTACTAAAATCTAAGAGTACATCAAGAGTATTGGAATAAGTAATGTGTATTTGCTAACCTATTTAAGTATTGAAAATTCATGTATATGTATAATAAGTACTATTCATATTAATAGTATTTATAAAATATTGCACCCAATTTTTTTTTTTTTTTCTATAGTTATTAGAATCCCTAATGAACTATTATTTAAACAAATTACTCGAGGTCTATTTTTATGATATTTACCATAAATTGTTATTTCACAAGATGTTGCCCTCTAAAATTATTTCAAATTACATTAAATTAACTTTTTGATTTAACCAAGTATATACAATGTAAATTTTGAGCTCTAAGTATTGTTATTTTTAATAATTACACCATTACAATTAGTTATTTATGTTTACTAACCTATGTTAGATTTGAAATTCATGTATACAAATAAGTACTATTAATATTGATAATATTTAATCAGTATTGTGCTTCTTTTTTTTTTTTTGTATATTAGTTTTTAATATCCCCTATGAACTATTATTTAAACAATTGCTCAAGGTCTATTTATGTTATTTGCTGTTATATTGTTATTTAATAAGATGTTACCCTCTAAAAGTAAAAGACAGACAAATTGTTTAAAATTGCATTTAAATAATTCTGTGATTTGACCAATACTCAAATTTTGAACTGTAAATAATTTATTTAATAATTAAACCAAGTCATTGTGTATTATCTATTATTATCATAGAATTATTCAAAGTATTAGTTTATGAAACAACAGTTATTATAAGATTTTTCCTCTGATAAGTACTAAGGGTAAAATTTATTTAAACAAAAATTAAATTAATTTTTGATTTAACTAAGTACATACAAATTAAATTTTAAGCTTTTAAGTATTGTTATTTTAAATAATTACACCCATACAATAAGTTATTTATGTTTATTATCCTATGTTATATTTGAAATTCATGTATACAAATAAGTACTATTAATATTGATAATATTTAATCAGTATTGTGCTTCTTTTTTTTTGTATATTAATTTTTAATATCCCCTATGAACTATTATTTAAACAATTGCTCAAGGTATATTTATGTTATTTGCTGTTATATTGTTATTTAATAAGATGTTACCCTCTAAAAGTAAAAGACAGAGAATTATTTTATTTATATAGATTCATTATAAGTCATACTTAAAGATAAAAAAAAAATCACAAATGCCTATTAATAGACTAAAATCACTATAATGTTTTTAAAATATAGCCTTTCTAGAAAAGTCTATTATAAGTATCATGTGAAAAATACAGATCCCTACAATTATTTGTAACCTAATAACAACAAAAAACCATTTAAAAAATGTAATTAATGTTTTTTAAAATAAATACATAATATTCATAATTTTTCACATTCTTCATTATAAAATTGTATTAATAAATTTTAAATACTGATTTCAAATAATAATAAAATTAAATAATATTTTGAAATACTTTTTTTATATATATACATCAATACTATTTACCTATAAATATGTATAAACACTCACATTATTATTATTTTTTTTTTTTTGTGGGTATTGTGTTAGTATTATTGTATACATTACTTGGTTCCGATTTAAAGTGTCAAATGGTTTTTCAAACATAAAATGTGTACAGTTTTATTGTATTCATATGTGTAATTTGATTCTTTGTTTTAGGAATTTGTATGGAATATATCTATATATTATATACTATAATCTTTATTAAGACTATTAAAGATAATTTATTCATGTTGCCTTAACCACTGAAATAGCCACTCAATCTTACAAACCGTCCAAATTTAATTTAGGGAAAGTATTAGAGTCCTAAATTAAAATACCATCCCAGATGGTAACCCTATAACCTCATAACCCTATGAGAAAACTTAAAAGAGAATATGGTGTTAAGGTTTAGCTTAAATTAAATAAAAAATAAATCAAGTCAAAAGTGTTGCTACTGGGCAACTCCTTTAAATCATTCATGCCATCAAGTTAAATTCATAAACATGCTTATTGTAAAAAAAAAAAAAAACCTATATATTGTACTTTTTACAATGAATAACAGAAAAAATAAATATTGCCTTAAAATCTGAAACCATTATAAATAATAAAATAAACATAATAACCATGGCTCGGATTTTATAGCACTGAAAATAGCTGAAATATCTGCTATAGTATGACCCAATAAAACTTGAAATACTTGCGATAATATGTAATAAAAACACGAAAAATACCAAAAAATAAAATGTATTTACCTTTTTTTTTTTAAATTTTTTAAATACACTGATAAGAACTTATAAATGTGTACTGTTCGCTCTGCTATTTTTATTTGTATTAAACTAGTATTTAGCAAATATTATGCAATCCAGACTCTGATAATAACAAAATATTAAATGTATTGCATACATTGCATACATTATCAGTGGTGTTAAACTATAAAAAATTCACCATGGCGATTGTACAATTTGTTTAGGACCCATCAACAGTTTTGTACTGACAAATAAAAGTGTGGATAATATGCACTTTTTTAATCAAATTTTATAACTACAATCAAAATATACTGTTCGATATTTTAATATTAATTAATAATAATAATAATAATACATTTATTTTATTTTATTTCACAAATATACATAAATAAATATAACAATATGAAATTGAAATGATGTTGTATCCAAAAATTAATTGTCTTTACTTTGTTTATTTAGGTAGGTACCAAGTAAACTAAATTTTTTTACTTCGTAATATAACCACTTACTTGACACATTTTAGGACGTCAATAGTGATACAGTGGAGGGTAAACACGTGCACCCATTTCAACAGTTTTCTAAAAATTGTTAACTATTAAGTTAGTGTCGGGGGAGAGTAGTGGACCATTATTTGAATGGCGGCTCGGCGCGTGACGTTTTAATTATGTACCACTACTCTCCCCGACCCAAACTTAAAAGTGGAATATCTCGTTAACAGATTGACGGAAATTACCAATTTAAACAAACAAAATACCTGACCGGGGACTTGTTAGTGAGACTCGCAAATCAGTTAAACAATTCGTTAGGTCTGTATTAAGCCCAAGGGTACTTTGTCCTACAACATACTACTACAAATACCTATGACGTACATAACAATATACGGTCGTACAAATGCATACTAAAACATTTATGTACACATTAAACAAACAAAAGGGCATAATTAATGTCAAATGGATTTTTCTCGTAAAACGAGTCGTATACAAATTCCGAAAATGATCGTACAAATTCATACTGATTACGTACTAATTATTTACAATATTAAAAATCGTTTATTTTCAGAAATAGGGGGCTGGGTTAATGTACGTGTTCTAACATCAATTCCCTTATCCCAACTCTTGGTAGTTGTGTATTTCAACTACTGCTCGTAATTGGGCGTATAGGTATTAATTCGACCGGTAAGTACTACAGAACGCAAGGTAACCGCAGGAAACCGTATTTACGTTTAAACGCATACAAATAATTAAACACAAACGAGTCTTCAAAATATAATTAAATACTTTATATGGACAGGTCGGGATCGTTGTCCAGACATTCCACCCCGAGTCCTGAAGAAAAGTAATTTTTACAATAATATTTTAATAGTTTTTATATAATAAGCGCATCACCAGTTAGCGCATCTTAGCGCATCTAAAGTTTACAAAATTGAAATCTGACAAACACATTCCTACAGTGTTGTTTAGCTTACAAGTCTAAATTGACCGAAGTCTACAAACATCTTTTGTTCGTTTTAATTTAACACTGTACAGGTCCTGGTTTTTAATCCATGCAAGAGCAAAGGCACAACTGCGCGCTCTCTATTAACTTTAGGCTATTCAAGAGGCTCAGAGGTTCGGGGCAAACCCCGCGTGCATGACAATGCATCAAAGCGCGGGCCCAGCAATCGCTACCCGATTCGCTTTGCCGTCTGCCTACGGTTCGGCCGCCGTCAGGTGCGCAACCCGTGGCTTGTTTAACCACTACCTTACGGAAACCCGCATACCCGTCCGAATCCAACCGCACGGCACGAGACCGCGGCCGACACCGGAGCGTCCATTCAGCGCCGAGCATGGGTCGACAGCTTTTCATAAATGTCAGAAGCAGGACGTATTATCACGACACGTTGGGTGTCGACGAAACAGATAATAAATCCGCACCGAAGGCAGTCAGATATCTACCGACACGCGTTCGTTAACACGTTACCAGAGATAAGTGGGCCACCCGGAAACATCCCACGTTACGATTCAATATCCGGAGCGCGAGAAGACTCCCGAACAATCACGCAGAGATGCGAGCCCGTATTCTCGATCTCTCTCTGGGTATAACCTAGGTGAGGAAATACCGACACTCGTACGCCCAGCAAGAATCTATACATGATCGCTTCACGACGCGGAAAAATTCGCGACGCTACAAGTATCTAGCGCCACGATGAGTCCTGTACCATCTAAAAAGACCGGGAGGGGGGGGGGGGGGTAAAGCAGTAACCCCCTGACTCTCTAGGAAACCACAGAAAATAACCAAGAAATCAATCTCAACTGGTCCCTGAGTCGTGGTTTTACTGGATTTAACACTGTACAATATTCACAGTATTTTATATTATTATACAAGCATAGATTAAGCTTACTTAATACATTTACAAAAAAAAAAAAAAAAAAAAAAAA